ATCGGGAAAGTGAGCAATAAATTTCTTATCTCTACATTGAAAGCAAAGGTTTGATTTAAATAAATTATGACTACGAGCTAAAGAAGTTTATATATGTTTGTTTTAAATAAACTAGGGCTTAAGTTATAGATACATACATACAATTGTCATGTCAAAATATATAATTTCGTGAAAATCTGAACTTTTAGTTCTTATTTATTTTGATAAATGGATTTTCATCAAGTAAAAGCCAACTCAGTTCAATTCATATCTATATCTATGCTGTTTTGAAAAACGCAATTATTATAAGTCGCAGCACATTTTATTATAGAAGAGTTAGAAAAGTAATTCGACCTAAATCGCACAATAGAAAACGTCAGTGGATGAGTACTCTAGTACAGTACTTATTACTGACTGACCCTTTGGTAGTCCTCAAACATTTTTTGACAATGGTTTTGATATGGCCCTTTAAAGTGTTTAAAGCAAATAAAGATTAAATAGAATATGCTCTTTATTTAGGTAATAAATTTAATTAGAAAATACGATGACACTAAATATATTACCTAAGTAATTACGTTTTTATTCAAAATCTAATTTTGTTTCGAGTTTTGACAGTCGTCATTGAGATTAATTACAATGAGCTCTATGTTATTTTGTATCGAAATGTTAGAACCTTCAATTTTTAAAATGTGCATTTTGAAGCTCTGAACAGATATATTAGTAATTATGTTTTTAATTATGATACGGAAGAAAACGTAAAACACTATGCCCATCTGTTCTGCTCAACTACCACACACATATTGTTTTTTTGTATAGAATATGAATTTAAAACTTCCAAAAGTTGCCCTTTCTTGCAACTGGATTTAAAGTAAATAAGTATCATGTTGTAACAAATATTCTTGAATTTTAGTTTTTTCGACTTCATGAATTTGGTCCGTTGTGTAGGAGGCGGCTGTTACAGCTTGCGTTACCCATTACAATGACAGTGTTATCCGGAATATTTTTTAAAAGTTTAAAAGATCGTTTTCAAATCAGTTTTCGAAAAAATCTGCACTTTTTTCACCAAGCAGTTTATTATGGTGTTGCGTTGTCCTTTATTTGAAGTTGCTTTTGTGTGACTGTTTTTACTGGAATCAACCCATCCGTTGGATACAGTATTGTGTGTATCGAAATAAATTTCATGTATGGTGCCCATCAATTTTTACCATAATATGGCCACTAGCAGCACTAATGCGGTCTAGTGTTTATAGGTTGATATCAAAAATTTGCAAGATCTGAAACTATAACACGTTGCCATTGAAACCATCAATGAGCGGCAGTAGTATCCTGACTCCGGGTCTGCGGTTCCCCCTCCTACGCAAATGTTATTCAAGGCTGTTTTTGTTTATATACAGGCGCGAACTCGCCGTTTGTGGTTAAACCGGCGATGGTGCACCTTTAGAATACCTGCGGAATTTATTCACGTAAAATTCATGATGTCATCAATAGCATGTTTTGGTATGACGGAAAGCGAACGCTTGTTTGTGTAGCTTCGAAATAATTGTGCTCATTCGAGTAATGTGGTTTAACCAGTGTTCAATTTTTTTTCTCTGGAATTAAGCTTCCATTCAAACAATGAATGCGTGTTAATGTAAATATGATTCACGGAGATATGTAACCGAGTTGTGGAAAATAAAATAACGACATTTTTTTTCTTCTATTTTTCTATTTTTAAAACAGTTGTTTCTGAATATAGTTAAAACTTTGAATATTTGCGTACACTTTGTTTTGCTTTTCTCCAAAATAATTACTAAATATATAAAATAATTACTAAATAGGGTGAGCCGGTTAGACGTTCATGGAAATCAAGACATGGATCGTTCTGAAAATTTGATATTCTCTGGAATACTGGCAGCTTCTTTAATATTTTAAATGAGCTCTATATATTATTTTCTACTTAGCCATCGCGTTTTGATTATTTTTACATATTTGTCTAAGGGAATTTCAGTGGTGTATGTGTCTACACTAAACTGCCACTTGTATCTGAAATTACCTTAATTACTTAATTACTAACGACAGGTAACTTAAACTTAAGAAAAATTTTACTACTTATCAAACTATTTTTATATGCCAATAATGAAAAAATTCATAAAAGGAAAATAATATGATACTTCAACTTCATTAAAATTAAGGACAATCGATACAAAACTCACATAATTTCTTTCTGGTATTTTTTTAAATTCTGGAACATATTTCGAATGTGATAATTCAAAAAAAAACATGAAAATTAGCAATGCAAACAAATATTTTATTGAATTTGCCAGTAAAGTTACATAATAATACAATCTTAACACCGAAAACCTAGTTCATCCTGAAATTTGAAATTAAAAGCCCATATTTGGAAAACTACTCTATTGCAATATCACTTTTCACTTTTTAATAATATAGTCCAAAAAAATAAGTGTATAGGCAGGACCAAGAATAGAACATTCGGGGGAGACAATTAAATTGAATTGTTTAAAAAAAAACTTAATCTTTACATAAGCAAGTCACAAAATAGGCAAAACATTTTTAGGTTCTTATAAGAGTTCCATAAAGTTTTTATTTATTGTAAGTTTAACTTTTTTAAGTGATTAGTGGGAGAATGAGAGAAATCATAATTGTTATTTACTTTTTTTGTCACTTCTTTGCCCAATTGGACACAGTAGACTGCTGACTTTAAAAAAGATATGTCGTTATTAATTTTCTTATGGACTTCCAATACGTCGTCCCTTATCTTATAGTCAAGCATATTTTTCTGTTTCTGAAGAATATTTTCCTATTCCTGCCTTGGCGATTTTAAATTAATACATCAATAAAATATTTATTTATGGAACGTGTGAACTCCAAACAGTTATTCTGGGCGTACCTACTTAGATTTCCAATCGCATATGTATTTGTTATGTGAAGGAAGATTTGTTAAATGGGGTATATTTATAATGCGCTCAAGTTATTGATTTTCTTGGTTTTGACTTGCCGCCATCAATTAATAATCATTTAATAATTCTTTTAATTTTTATAACTACCCACGATGGTCTGTTATTTATCCACGGGTTTAATCCACTGAATTAAAGCTACTTTTTTTGATTTTTAGAATATCGACATCGAATTCCGTGACTTAATAGTATATTATGCACCAAGTTTGATAATCAACAATTTAGTGATTAATTTGTTTTCACACGAGCGGAGCGAGTGTCTGGAGAAGCTTATCAACGTGTTGCATACTAAACAAGAACACGAATAGATGAAATATTATTTAAAATGTGACTAAAACATCGGAAACGTCCGAAGTGGCTCACGACAGTGTTTAACTAAGTTGAGGTCTTAACTTGATATTTTGCGCACGGGGTAGAAACAAACTTATTTTCAACTTCTAGCAAAATATAAGCTTATCGGTTTTTCATTGACCTTTCATTTGCGTTTAGGCTGTGACGTAGTTCCTGGAGGCCTGTGATGAGCTGAATCAGCAAATGTTACAAATCAGTCAGCCCGTTGTTCGCATCTAATCAACAAACGTCGGCGGCATTCCCCAGTTGCGTTGCATTTCCCCCCCTTAAAGTAGACGTTTGACAATTAAGATGGCCGGGAACGGTTGCTGCAGTTCAGCTTTAAGGGCTGCCGGTGTTGGCCCACGTCGCGACGCCCTGTCGACGTGCGCGTCCCTCGACCTGACAATATCCACCCTGCTCCCTCTTATGTCTTCCGATCGAAATTGCTTTAGAGGGTTTTCTAAATTTCCAACTGCGTGTGGAAATTCGCGGGACAATTTCTTTGGCAACGCGTTGTTGATCTCGTCCAATTTTACGGCAATTTGTTTTTGTATCGTTGAAAATTTAAGTGAGAACCGTCCCACACAAGTCGTTAACACGCCAGACGTACAAATTCGATAACATAAAACGTGGTTAGTATGCGAGGTTATTCGCGCTACAAGGAGGAAAATGCGGTATTCAAAAAGCTTTGCTAGTGGGATTCATTTTTAAAATAGTGTTCCTATTATACAGGTTGTCATAAAAGAGCTAAAGTATCAAATTGGGCGTTATGAAATTTGAAAAAAAAAAGGTTAATGTCCTGAATGATTTCAAGGAAACCTCACAAATAATTCAAACCCACGCACAAACAAGTTTTTTTTTGTTTTAATAGTTTACAATCTAAAATAGAAAAGTACAAATCAAGTACTAATTTGAAACCATTTCCTAATGTTTTAACTTAAATTTGAGCAAATTCCGATTTTTCATTGTTTTTTCATTGAAAACGGCACGAAGTACTAATTGTGGAATTTGCTTAGTTTTTTACAAAGGACTATTAGTGGGAGCAGTTCAATATTGGGACTACCTGCAGACGCAACAAGTTAATTCAAAAGAAAATCATTTTGAACCCAACAATTTTTGTAGAAGTTTCTTATAAAAAAAATGTAAAATTTGAAATGAATGTGCTAGGTACAAAATGTGGCAAAATCTAAAAAAAAAATCAAAAATATTTTTTAGTCTATCTGAATTTTTGTAGCTTCGGCGCATAATTATGCGTCTAAATACACAACTTTTATTAACCGACCCTGTATCTTTAATGGTTTAATATTTACTTTACATTTTTAAAAAACTCCTTCAGAAACGGAGTAATAGCGGATAAATTAAATCTTAAAATTAATTAAAACTAAAAAGGCTAGTTTAATTTTGGTCACCATCTTTGTTTATCCATTTAGTGATGGCATTTGAGTATATCCGTTTAGTCTGTTTTTTTATTTTAATGTGTTAGTGTAAATATTTTAATTTAAATATTAAGTAACTAAATTGTACTACATTTGACAACAAAAAACTATAAATATGTATTAAACACAGGGTAATACCGATAGCCGACTGTTTTTAGAAAATGTGTTATTTAATATTACTAATCTAGTTTAAACAAAACAAACGCTTTCTTATGAACAATTATTAGTTCTAATAATATTTCCTCATTTATTGATTGGAGAAAAATTATTTGTTTTGATGCGCCTCCGTTTGTTGCAGGTTTTCACTTGAGCGGTATCGTGACAGCTGTTCGAACCTCACCACCAACCACATTACCTTGCGGCGCCCCCGAACCCCCTCACAAATATAAAGTTTCAGTGAGTTTTGATAGGTAAGTACTTATATTTGTAACGTTAGATCTACTCATGCGCGCATCACATCTTGGCTTTAGGAGATCTGTGAACAGTTTTTTTTTGTTATCTACCTATACCAATCTTAAACCATCACCAATATTTCGCGCATTTTTTCCTAACAACATACTAAATGATACAAAGTTATGACCTGTTTGGACAAAGATCAACTAATTACCTAGTACGGGCCATGTTTAGTGGTTAAATCACAAACAGTCATGTGCCTATACCATAATTACAACCATTCTTATTGGTAAATCACATTAACTAGATTAATTCCAAGTTATAATAATAATTGCTGACGTTTCGCCAATCATCCTGTTGGCTTCTTCAGAGCTTGACTGAAACTGACTCGTATTTTACTCTGTACCTGCATATGTATTGTTTGAAGGGGCCGGGGGGGGGGGAGGGGCTAAGTATAAACACCATCTGGGATGACTGATTCCCAAATTGGTGACAGGTAGAGACCTGAGTCGCGATTAAGATTGTTAAGTTGTTTATAGATTTCTATAGACTCTCTTGGTAGAAGAACTGATTATATGCAAGAATGTTATTTTTATCGAATTAAATTTTATGCCCGGTTTCATGAGTGTGTTCCGCAACAGCTGATGGGTTTATTTGTCTTAGTCGTAATGCTCTTTCGTGTTCTTTGAGCTTAGTTGATATTGTTTGTAAGGTCACTCCTATGCCGCATATGCATGGAATGCTATAAACTCCTGGCGTCTCAAATGGAATTTTATCTTTTAGGGACCGAAGATGTTGAGAGATTTTTGGACAAGTGGTAAATCTGGTTATACTTCTTTAGAACTTTTGATGACCGTTATAAGAAAAATATATCCCCAATAAGCAATGGTGCTGACAATAGGTCGAAGGGGTAATCCTGGGTTGTTGTTGAATTTTAGAGTAGTGAGGGGTAACGGATTCTTTCACGGAGTCTGATAGAGAAGAAGCCTTAATAACCGATTGCGATCCATAGATGGCGTAGGATCTTTTTTAAGTTGACGATATGATCCGTCTGTAAGAATATCTTGAATCTTTTCCTGATATTCATTTGTGTCCATGACTACCGTAGCATTTCCTTTATCTGCTTTTAGGATCACGATGTCTGGATTGGATTTTAGAGATTTTAGGGCGATGCGTTCAGGCTTTGCAATATTGGATTTAGGAGGTTTTGATTTTTTAAGGATTTTTGCGGTTTCAAATCGAATTTCATTAGCTGTTTGAGATGGCAGTTTGTTTAGAATAGACTCGACATTTGAAATGATTTCCTCTTTTGGGATAATACGTGGCGCAAGGACGAAGTTGGAACCTTTTGAAAGAACTAATTTTTCAGTTTCCGAAAGTTGGTGCGATGATACATTTATTACAGTGTTCGGTAGTTTAGAAGAATTTGATGGTTTTCCTAGTGTTGACGTTAGTTTTTCAAATTTCTGAATGTGATTTTGGGTAGTAGATAAATGAAGATTTAAAGCTTTGTCATGAATAATGTTTGAAAGGGTATCGAATTCGGATGGGGACAAAATAGAAGAAATTTCAAGGTGTACAGACAGATGAACCTTATTGATTTGATCTATTTCCTTACGGGTATGATGAATTCTTTCTCGAAGTAAAGCGAAACTAGATTTTCGGAGAATTTTATAAGCGGATGAGGTTGTGATGTGACGGGATATTTTAAGAAAGTTAGGGACAACGTTATGGTCTCTACAACGTAACAAAAATGTCAGTGTACAGAGTAATCTTACCAGTTTCAGTCGGTGATCTTCTCACTTTCTGCATTTGCGCTTGATGTCCTCTCCATAAAAGCTTGTTAATTTTTCAAAGAAACTTCCAAAGGCTACTGCAATGCTTTTTACAAAACTTCTGGATTCCTCCTGTGTCGGTTTTTGCTTAGTCGAAATTGCTGAGGTTTCGCCAATCATTCTGTTGGCTTCTTCAAAATTTTGAATATATTCTCTGTTGTATGTATTTTGTTTCAAATTGGTTCTTTCTTCGTGTCGACTTTAATTTTTTATCTCATATTTAAATTGGTTTTGGCGCTTGAAATTGGGCTTTGCTTTTGTTATTTAGATATAGTTATTCATTTATCTATATTTTTTAAAATATTCCTTGTTTATTAGCTATTTTTGTAGTTAGACTTGGAAACTCTAACTGAATAAATTGCCTGACCGTATCATTTTTACACAAAGTTAAATCGGGTTGGTCAAAAAGCCCTGACATGCAAATTTCAAAAGTTTGACAAAAAACAATCATTGTGTGGTAAATATCAGTAACACAGCCAAATCTGATTGACAGTAACTCATTGTAGTAAATTATCAGTCAGTTGCTTGAAATCATCTAAAAACTTCCCACATATTGCGGAATATTTGAAAGACGCTTATAACTTTTAAAAATTAATTTTAAATTTTAGGTGCAAGATTACGTCAGTGACATGCACGTGTGAAACTCGCGACATATTTTGGTGTCAACATGTGGTCGCTTTATCTCTTTACCGAATACGAAATGCTGAAAGCGTCAGACTCAGAGTTCCTATCTCCGGTAAGTAAAAACAAACACGATGGGTGCCTTTATTTTCTAATATGGATGTCGATTTTGGTAAGGACTGGTAGGTATATCCAGTTGGTAATTTTTACTAGACTGGGAGATTATTTATTATGTTATTTATTGCTAGACTTATTTTCGTTGTGGTGTTTTATTTGGACCCTTACTCCTATCCATCCCAGAAATAATTAGGTTGCTTATGCCTAACGAGTTAATTTGTAATTCAACAGGTTATACCAATAATTATAGTGATTAATATTATTTATTGTTGCTTTATAGGAACATAACCTCCTTTAAAGGTTTTGTTCTAATGCAAAGTAGCTGTTGCACTTGTAGCACATTGCCCAATTTGCAATCGCTAAGTTAAGAATTGTAATAGTAATTGCAGAAAACAAAATACATTTTCATTTTCCACACACTGCATAAACATACATAAAACATTTGAACAAGATCTAATTCGATCATTATTTGATCTGTAGTATCTCCAGTGAGCACTGTTTCATATTGCAACCGACTTATTTGGTCACCATTTTTACAGACTGTCACCATTTTCCTTTTTTATTACTTTAAATCGGACAAATTTGTGACTAGCGGACAGGTAGGTACATGTATCGATCGACGGATGGCGTCGCTTCCTGGGAAAATAGACTATCCCCTTTAATCAAACTTCAAAGCGTTTAAAAGAAGCTTCGACGTTCCCTTTAAGGGTTTTCGCTTATTGTTTTTTTATGTACGACATATAGTTAAACGATGTTAAACAACATTTTTCTTCTGACCAATACAAAAAATATCCAAAATAAGGAGTTTTTACAAAATGTAAAAGTGAAAATGCGACTATCGGTTAATCATGCGCGTTGTGCACCAATCTGAGCCAGTTATTCAAATGACGTCACCGCGGTGCCAATTTAATGCATGCATTTAATATAGTAAAACATCGTTATTTTCCGTTTTTTATTGTTGTTTTTGCCAAAACGGCTCTAACAATTGTTTTCGTAAAACATTGCTTTCTTCATATTTAAAATGTGATGTGACGGTTACGTACGTTTTTTTTTTAATTTCATATAAATTATTTATTATTATTTTAGTTTCTATTATCTGAAAGAGTAAAGGTGAGGGATAATTTACTTTTTAAAATATTGATAATTTTCAATTAGATTCTTTTCGCAATCTAAAAAAAATTGCCTTTGCATGTCTCCACGCAAGCCCTTTTTGCGTCTTAAGACTGTTTAAATATTACATTGAAGTAAATCATAACAAATATAAATACCTTGCTCTTGTACTTAGTATTTGTCATATAATACAGTAAATTGTTGAAGCCACTGTGAAAAAAATGTTGAAAATATTTTTATATTTCCAACAACCAACAAACCCGCTGACAGTCCGTCACTATTTTTTCAAAATATGCTCAGATCAAAACGAATTAAGTACGTGGAGACCACCCTTTGGAAAGAAATTGTTGCAAAGTATAGGCTAGCGTCTGAAATTTAGGGGAATGCGTCTTTACGAAAATATCTATATTTACCTTCCTCGTCATTTTTTAACATCCGGTCAATATATGATCTAGTGGTCTGGTATGGTATTGAATGATACAAGCAATACTGTATTTCATAATGTTTATCGAAGTTATTATACTCATGGCTATGTGTGGACATGGCTAAGCTCAAGGTAGCGAAAAGAGGCCAGTTACTTTCCATTAAGCGCTGGTTTCTTTAGTTTCCGGCCAACCTCAAACTGGGATGTCTATGTGACCTACTACGATACATACGTCTCTCAATCCAAAGACAAAATAATTTTAGACATGATTCTCCAATAATAAAGCTTCGTTGGTTTCTTTGTTTATAGTTGCATATGTAAATTGTAAAGATGCCACCAACAAAGTTCCATAGCTTTTTTGGTTTCCGAGATATAATAAAATTTAATACATCTAAGTCACTAAATTTCTGAGAACGCATTCAGTTTATTGTCCAAGTAGCCCCACAAAAAAAGCCTAGGAGACAAAACCTATGTGGAAAAGGTTGTGTTCTGTGTTAAGGGAGAAATTTTAACATTATTATTTTCTAAAATATAAGTTCTGCAGTTATGTCGCATACTGACTGACTAAGACTTACATTAGGATAAAACTAGCTATGCCATTAGATTCTTCAAAAAAGTTCTATAAAATGCGCTTTAACCCTTATAATAACTTAAAATGTCTGGAAAGCGCCACTGTACAGTGTGTCCATTTTTCGTGGTTACTGTTTGGTATCTTTTATTATTATTTTGTTATTTTTGTTTTTAAGATACAGGCAAAACAGAAATTTTGCTAATTCAGTTACCCTTTATATTTTAGACATGTAATGAAATGGACAAAAATGGAATCTTATGGATACTTTTACTAGAATCCAGGTTTTTTGTAGGAAATGTAATTGATACGATACTGCTCAAAGTAATTTCCTTCAACTTCCATTTTCCAACATTTTTAACATGCTTCTTTTTTTCTAATATTTTTTTAAAATATTCGCTATTTTTAGAAAGCATTTAAAAAACTCAATCTAATTTAAAAAACTATGTATGGAGATTTGTATACCTGTGGCTTATATCTCAATACCGAAACACACTTTATAAAAAAAATCTAACTACGCCCCGGAATTCTGGATTCTACGTTCTAGTCTATAGTAATTATCCTCGTAAATGACAAAACAAGAATTCGTAAGGAGCCAGATAATATTTTGCAGCAGTTGTCGAAACAATGTCCAATAATATGACAATACCATCCAAATTTTATTAAATTCCTTATTTCTGGCTAATGTATTCGCCTGGCGTTGTGGCGTTTCGTAAAAGAGGAATTTGTCTTTTGCGGTTGATAATCTGTGGGGGATTGGTAGTTGTATACTGTGCGGCCTGTCTCCGTTCTCATTCATTCCGTTTCAAATTTATGTTCTGTGCTTGACGTTGTTTGGCGGATGTTGTCGTTATTGTACTTATCAACTCCGTCAAATTAATTTTTAAATTTAGTTTAACATGAAGTTTAGTTGAGGCCTAAGAGAATATTTTTTGTAGGTCTGCTTAAAAATGGATTGTGTTTGGGCATTTTTTTAGCTTTGTGCTCCTTGGTTATGTTTGCATTTTGTTGTCTTATTGGCCCCTGTTAAAGTGCAGTTCGGGTTACTGCAGACAGATGCTTAATAAGATGGAACAAGATGACTTCTTAAGTAGTTTCAAAAATGTCGATTTCTCAAAAACGAAAAAGTTCGCTTTTAAAAAGTCAAAGCTGAATACTACTCAGAAAAACCCATGCGAGATTGCTGAATTGAACATCAAATTTTCCCCTGAACATATACTTAATCAGAAGGCGTCGATTTCTCGATCTGAGTTGAAAAAGTCGTCTTCTACCAATGCCATGAAACTGAATTCGCAATTGGACAAAAATAATGCAGGGCACATTTTACCTGACAAATCAGAAATACCTTGTTCTCCTACTATTAGCAATTATTTTAAGAAGGATTTGGACGACACTGTAACAAGACAACACAGTTTGAATCCACAAGAAAGACTATTATTGTCAAATCAACTGTCTCCTTCAGTTAGTAAAATGCATTTAAATAAATCTGGAATAACCTCAACCCAGAGCCCGAAAAAATCAAAAAAATTTTCATTTAAAAAAGTGATCTCTACTAGCTCAAATAGTTCTGAAACTTTTGATCGTAATGAGGGCAGTTCTGTAGAAAATTCATTTGTAAATAGTGTAAGAAAAGAAAATTGGCAAGACAGAAGTGAACAATGTGTAGAAAATGTTCTCAAAGGTAGAAATACCATTAAGAATTTTGAAACAAGTCTTAAAGTTCATGAAGATAAGTTGAACCAGGAATCTGGCGCAAAATTGCAAAATAATGGTGATATTTCTTGTGTAACTGAATCCAGTGATAAGAATTCCAAGTTAATTCTGAAAGATGAAGTTTTGTGTGTCAGTGAATCACTACAAGCTACAGACGCTGATTATATGGATGATGAGGAATTCAATAGAAAGTTTGGAAATTTGGCAGATAACTATGAGGCGGTAAGTTTTGGGTTATCTTTATTAGTTTCGAGGAAGAGGATCTCATTAATATCATTTTTGTTAGTGTGTATCAGATTCCAATGCATCCCTGAATCAATTAGATACTAAGGAATTGTTAGATGAAGTCACAATTATAAACTGGGAGGATGAGGACATATATGAAAATGAAATATCATTATCTGGTTTTAACAATAGACAAGACGATTCTCATCAGTTTAATGGGAATTATATTCACACTGAGGAAGTGTTGAATACTTTACGTGGAATATTTGGTTTGAGAAATTTTAGGTAATAGTAAGTTATAACTTTTAAAAGCCACAAATTCTTGAGATCAATACACCAACCAATATTTTTAATTTTAATTCTTACTTAATTGTTTGATTTTATTTTTGGCTTTTGCATAACAGTACCATTCTTTAGGCCTCATCAAAAAGAAATCATAAATGCCAGTATATTGGGTCATGATTGTTTTGTGTTGATGCCTACAGGGGGTGGCAAAAGTTTGTGTTATCAGCTACCTGCTCTCATAGTGCCAGGTGTTACAGTTGTTATATCACCTCTTAGAGCACTGATCAGTGATCAGGTAAATAGTTTAAGGTTATCGAAATTTTTGTTAATTTATATAACATTTATACTTATGCTATAGGTAGATAAACTAAATCAGTTAGATATAGCTGCTGCCCATTTGTGCTCTGATGTGACCAAGGTCCAACATGAGAAAATCTTATTTGGGCTCAGCACTAGAGAACCAACTATTAAATTGCTGTACCTGACTCCTGAGAAAATAAGCGCCTCCCAGTAAGTAAAACATATATAATTTTTATTTAATTTTGAGATTGTATTTTCTTAATTGCTGGTTGTATTCTAATATTGAAAACTAACTCTTCTAATTAAGTTGATTTCAACATTTCAAGTTTGTTTTCTATTTCGATGGAGTTATTACAATTTTCATGTTTGTATGCAGGTTGTTCAACATAAATAAAATACTCCTCCTTACTGAGATAGAGGGTTTTATTTAAGGTATTTAAAAATGATTTTAATCTTGTTTATAATTGCCAATCAGTTTAATATATTGTTTAATAAATTTTTATATTTTAGTTTGTATTAATTTGGTGACTATTTTTTTATTCATATAAATTTAACGAATTTTATAATCAAATTGGCTTAATAAATCTACTGTCGAGATAGATCGGAAATATGTAATAAAATAAAATAACTTTAGCGGGAAACTATTTTGTCCTTTCAGCGTCCATTCATATCCAGACATCCATACTTCTTACATAAAATGTGAAAGAAATAGATTTTGAGTATGCTTTTATATAGTCACATTCACATAAGAATCCTTGAAAATCACCAAAGTAAATATTCATAGGATTCAGTAAAAATTAGACATGAGCAGATGTTTGTAAATAGCATTACAGTAGCCTGTGGAAGTTTCTTTGGAAAAAGAATTATGTCTGACCTAACATATGCATAATGTACATTTTTCTGCTCCCATCTGCAAAATACCTACTTACCCGCCGATCTAGTGTGCGGAAAGCGTCACTTTACACGTCAGTTTCGTTTCCCATGAATCCGAGCCACTTCGGACATTTCCGGGATTTTACCGGATTTGAGAGCAATCGGATGTTTTCGGAGATATTTCCCACGCCTTGAATTTTGACGCTTATACGATCTGACGGCCATGACAATGAATGTATTCGTGTTGTTTTGCGAAAAGTTACTCAAAAACTAACGGTCGAAGAAAAAGTATAGTATGCAACACGTTCGGTAAACTTTTTAACTCACTCGTTTATTAAAAACTCGTTCTGCTCGTGTCAAATAAACTCGTGAGTCAAATGCCGTTTACCGCACTTGTTGCTATAACTATTAAAATAAATTACCTTCTCCCTCTCTAAGGATGAATATTTTATTTCAGTTATTTATGTTAATATTCAATTTTTGTGGTGAGGTTTCTCCAGTTACAATATAGAAAATTTGTAATAATACCCAGTACATGCTGATATGAGAAAATTTTTTCATAGGTCGATGATGAACGCGCTCATGTCGCTTTATCATAGGGAAAAATTAGTTCGTTTTGTGATAGATGAAGCCCACTGTCTTTCTCAATGGGGCCATGATTTTCGGCCCGACTACAAACAATTATCTAAGTTACGACGAGAATTTCCCAACGTTCCTATAATGTGTCTGACTGCCACCGCTACTAAACAGGTCGAAACAGATGTGATCCATATTTTAGGGCTCAAGAGTGTAAAAAGATTTATAAGGAGTTTTAACAGACCAAACATTAAATATCAGGTATATTTATTCATTGATAACTAACAAAGTTGAACTGCCAAAAGTTTGCGCTTCATTTCGCTTTGGGAACTTGTTTAGATGAAATATTTTGATTTTAATTCAAGTTGAGTTTTAAGGTGGTACCAAAACACTCCAGTAAGAAAGCAGTTGAAGATATTGCTGAACTAATAAAAAATAAATTTTCCAAAATGTCAGGTATTGTTTATTGCCTGAGTCGAAAAGATTGCGACAATTTGGCAGAGGAATTTAATGTCATGGGGATAAAATCTAAACCATATCACGCCGGTATGACTGATAAAGTAAGTTACGTTTTCGTATGTTTTTGCTAACTAAACGAGGAAGAGTATTATATTACTATTTATGAATTGAAAAGTTGGAAAATTTTAACTATTTTCAATAGGTTAGGGACGTTATACAACGAGAATGGATGCAAGATCGTTTTTACGTAATAGTTGCGACTATAGCCTTTGGAATGGGTATTGATAAACCTGACGTAAGGTTTGTCATTCATAATTCCATACCTAAATCTGTCGAAGCGTTTTACCAGGAGTCTGGAAGAGCAGGCAGAGATGGAGAAGTTTCATATTCTTATTTGTTCTACAATTATGGCGATGTTGGAAGACTGAAAAAGTATGAATATTTTCCCTAATTGGTCAAACCTATGATTGATAATGTTTTATGAGCATGAGATTTTAAAACTATCTGTGATAAAACAGTAATTAAAACAAGATAAACACGACCTTCAAGTAACCAAGGTTGTATTTGAAAGTAAACAAAGTTAGTATGCTTTATGATCAAATATTTTATAACCTTTTTTTAACAATTGCCATAACAATAAGACATTGGCTTTATCATGTGAAATGAGTTTTTTTGGTACATGTTTTTAGGTTAATACAATGTGACAGGAATATGCCAAAGAAAACATTAGATGCTCATTTTGAAAATTTAAATCAGATGGTAGCATTTGCTGAAAATGTTGTGGATTGCAGACGACACTTACAATTGATACACTTGGGTGAGCATTTTGACAGAAAAGTTTGTATTAAAAACCGAAAAACTGTTTGTGACAACTGTGAAAACATTAATACCTACAAAATGTTAGAGGTTACAAAAGAAGCCCATGAATTATGTCAGATTGTTGAAGATATTGGGTGCAACGAGAATGTCACAATGTTATATGTTGTAGATATATACAGGTAAATTATTTGTCCTGCATTTTTTTTAAATCGTTAGAATCATCAACTTTTAGGGGAGCAAAAACTAAGAAAATTTTTGCTCGAAATCATAACCAACATAAATATTATGGGGCGGGCAGTACCAAGGATCGGAATAATGTGCAGCGAATTTTGAAAGAGTTGATTATGAAACATGTCTTGTCAGATTTCTGCACTTATACTGGAGATTTTCCAGTGGTTTATATTAAACCCGGTCCAAAATTTTACATTTTTAAAAGTTCCAACTCCAAACTTATGTTACCAATATCAACAACTGACAGAAGAAAGTTTGAAGTTACCAGAGATAAAAATTTAACTCCGGAAAAGGTTATTAAGGATGGGAATCAATCCCGAATTATTGAACCTGTGGACAAAATTGCTGCCTTTAAACCTTCAACGTCCGCCAAAGTAAATGCAGTAAAGAGGTCTAATAATACCAAGTTACAAGCAGCTAGAAAAATGCAGATTAGTCACATCAAGGTAATAGAAACTTTTTTCTCTTGATATTAAAACTATTTTATTTTGAGTTGGGCCTAAGCAGGCATAGCGGAATAGGTTTATGAGAGCTTGTACTCTACGCTATTATGATTCTATTATTGCTTAATTGATTTAGAATCTATTAAACAAAAATCTTAAATCTAAAGTTGTAGAAAAGTCAATAGTTAAATTAGTGGATTTAAAAAAAATCAGTTATATTTTGATTGTTTATATTTTTTTAAAAAGTTTTTATTACCCAAAACAAATTGTATTTGCATTTGTTACCTTAATAAGTAAGGATGAAGAACTTATAATACAACAATTTATACATTTATACATTTATTGTATTTCCTTGGTATAATATTAATGTCGCGATAAATGAAAAAAAAAGTTGATAGTATTATTTATAAATTGCGTTATCAAATATTTTTAGGTGACATGCCATGAAGAATTATTAGAAGTGTGTCGTTCACTAGCTATGGAAAAAAACTTAACGTTATCGTCAGTTATGAATCTTTCAGCCATTAAAAATATGTCCGAAGTGTTACCTAAAACTAAGGAAGAGATGTTAAAAATACAGCATGTGACTGCAGCCAATTATAATAAATATGGCGAACATTTCTTGAAGGTAACTCAAAAATACAGGCAAAAGGTTGACGAAATGATGCCAGTGCCAGAGGGGTCCGACGTGCTGGCATCAGATGCAGAGCAAGATCATTTTCAAGCCAATGATTGCGCTAAGATCCCAGCTAAACAGGGTGTTAAGCGAAAAACTGCAGCTTTCTACAAATCTGGAGGATATAATAAAAGATATAAAAAAACAAAAACTGCCAACAAAGGGAAGACTAAATGGATGTCAAAAAAGAAAAATAGTGGGAGTGGATTGGGCTTAATGCCCGTAATACATTTCAAATGATAATTGGCTATTTCTTTGTTGTAATTGAAGTTCTACTTTTTTATAGTGCATATTATTTAAATAAATTTTTTTAATGACTGGTGTTTTTTTTTCATTATTTAATTTCCAGGATCTTATATTTCATACCGGAGGGGCCAATAAAAATGCTAGGCTAGGCAGCTAATTCGTCAGTGTTTTTTTTTTAAGAATATAAAAATTAAGAAAAATGAAAATTCTTTTGTATGAATCATTGGCGGGCCATTCGATTCATGGGTGATAGGTACCTGCTGCCTGTGGTACAAAAAAAGGCCCCTTTTCGACTTAAATTTGGCAAAAATGCATAATTTGTAAACAAAATCGTTATTTGTAAAATAATTTGCAATTTTCCAAATTAGTTTCTCTAACATGTTTTAAAACTGCTTCATTATTTTCGAACTAGAAACCCTGCTGCAAATGGATCGCCAGCAACTTCAAAAGTTTATACAGTACCTGATAGCAGAACATCACACAGAAGTTTTGCCGACTGCACAGAAGTTAGCTGATGAAATTTTGCAACAGCGAAGCGAAATCAATCAAATTGCTGGCGCTCCAGATCCTACTGCGGGTGCTGCAGCTGATGATGTTCATTCGTGGCACTTAGATGAAAGTCAAGTAAGTAATACTTCAACTGAAAAAAAACAAGTTATTGTCTTACGGAGTAACTCAAAAAAGCGTTAATTTTTTTTTTAATTTTGCAAACGGACACTTCCTGAAATTTTAAAACACACACCATTTACTAGAAAATAAAATTAATCATTTGCAGTTTTTAGCAGAAATTTTTGTATTGTAGTAATAATTGAGAAAAAGGAGGGATATACTGCTGCTAAAATTTAAAACATCTATTCCACTTGTCTAATATTTCATTAATAATTCGCTTTTTAAAAAAATCCACATTGAAAAGAAAATTGTTTCCCAGTTTCATTAAAAATGCTGATCTTATTTCCTTCCATATTATAATAATTTTACTCACATTTCTTACTAATACTGAGATTACTTTTCTGTACATCCTTGGAGTCACTATATGTTTTGATTCTGTACCTGCACCCGTTTAGTACATATATTTCTTTTTGATTGCATAATTTTTTTTTAGTTGAAAGAAAGTAACCGATTTTTTTATGTTATAGGTGTGCGAACAAGTAAGGTCTTATTTAGCCCAAGGAGCATACTATAATGCAAACAAGCAATTGAACTCACTCTTTTCCAAGGTAAGTTGACTTTGAAAAGTGGTGACGCATATTTGTTATACTGATACTTATCATAAGGTTCGAGAAATGCTGCGAGCTCAAGATTCTAATGGGGCCCGCATGCTTACGCTAATCACTGAACAGTTTCTAAGTGACCCTCGATTACAAATGTGGAAAAATCAGGGGACGTCGATGACCGATAAATGTAGACAACTTTGGGATCAATTAGGTTCGCTGTGGGTCTCGATAGTGCTAAGCCCAGGATGTACTTTTCATGAAAAAGCACAATGGAAAATACTTTTAGAGAAATGGAGTAATATAGACGTGTGCCCTCCAGAAGATCCAGATTTCAAAGTGCAACAAACCAACGGACATCGAGATTCGGTAAAAAAATGTAAAATCCATATTAAATTTTGGACCTAATTTTAGGATTGTTTAGTATCGCGATAGGGATCGTCACTACTATGAGCGAGATCGAGACAGATACGCAGATCGCGAGAGGGACAGAAGAGATAGGCGGGATCGTGACAGAGAGAGAGAAAGAGATAGAAATAGGATTAACAATGAATCGTCTGATAGTTCAAATTCTGATGATGATGATGATGAGGCTCCAAGTTATAGCCAAAGAGGAAGCAAGAGACTGAAACTCTCAGGAAACCATTCTAAGTCATTGAATAAGCCAGTGTTACCAAGAACAATTTTTCATAGGTAACACAAGCTCTAGCACATTTATTTAGATATTGGAATATGTTCATATTGATATATAGTGCAAACTCATTAATCCAAATCTATCACAGCCAGATTTCGATTTTTGATTTTTTTTTAATTAACCAGTTTTATTATAATTAATAAGATAACTTACTCTAGACGCATCTGCATTGGTTTTTCTTTTTTTTTTTTAATTTATGATTTGACAGTTACATATTAACCTGTGCGCGGGTTGTACTGTATAAATTACATTTTCTTCTGAGTTATTTGAATTTAAATAAGACAGGTAAGTAGCTATTGTCCTTTTCTGAAAATAAAATATTTAACGATATTACGCTTAAGAAAGTCTTTAAGAAGCTTGAAGATATGTTGACCTAGACGCAGACTGAAGAAAGTGCACGTATTGTATATATATTTAAGTCATATTTACTCTAAAAAAAAAATGTAAAATACTGTAAAATAATTTTTCCTCCACTTTGAACTAATTCAATTTATTCTAATTTTATTTTCTTTGTTTTTTTAGAGCTTTAGATGCTGTAAGTATGTCGTGGGACAACATGCACCTGAAGAATATTTTATCTAGTGATACTTACTGTTCGCACGTTCCAGACATTTCCAATTCTAGTGGTAGTTTTAATTCTCAGGGACAACCTTTGTGGCATGGTAAGTTGATTTTTTTTTTGGTGTTTTAGTTTGTTAATATTTTAATTTCAGAACCTGTTCCACTTTGCGCTGCTCGAGTAGACTCTTTACGTTCCCACGGGCACATGGAAGCTGCTTTACGTCTGGCAGTGTCTGTGGTTAGAACCATGAAACAGCAACAGTTGGCAGCGCAACGTCGATGGCACGAAAGTCAGCAGCAGCAGGCTTCTTCATCTAACAGTTCAAATCTAGTTAAAGCATGCACATCTAGATGTCAGGTAAGTATATTATTTTGTAGTGAAGTGTAATCTATCAGTGGTTTTGCTAATTAATATATTTTTTAAGAAGTAAGAGTATAGGGTAGCTGATTCGGTTGCAAAACTTTTCATAGAAAATTCTAGGTAGTGTTTATTCAAATGGAATTTGGCAATATTTTTTTTTTGTTTTAACACTTTTACATATAAAATTTATGTCAATGTAATTTCGTAAACACTACAAATAAAAATTTGTCTTTAGGGTTCCTGCATGGGCAATGCTTGTTCCACTAGTTTAAATGCGCCCGCAAACACAGATGGTTGGGTAGGGCATCCTCTAGATCCTATTGGTTGTCTTTTTGATACTTTGTCGGATGCTTCCATAATTCCAGACGATCAAAGACCGAGGACGCCCAGTTATCTAGGTAATACAGCATGATAGCCAATTTTTAAGTTTCTACAGTGTTACTTTTTTTAGATTTGATAGGAATGGAAGATCAACACGGTAACATCAGACCTCGTTATCATCATGTACCTGTTGTTGGAACACGTGATCGTTCTGAGACATATTTAACTCTAGCTTTTGAAGTAGCTCTGATTGGACTGGGCCAGCAGAGACTGATGCCAGTTGGTTTATATGCCCAGGTAATTAAAAAAGCGTCCTTTTTACTTTCGTAATGAAATTTGTTAATTCAATGTTAAACTCCTCAATTATTTATGGAAATTTAATTCTGTTTCAGGAGAAATCTTGTAAACAAGAAGATCGATTAATAGCTAAATTGCAGGATATTGAATTGGATAATAGTTTGGTTGCAGTTCTGAGAAGGCAAGCCATAATTTTACTAGAAGGCGGCCCTACGAGCGGTTTAGGGATTGGCATTCATCCAGAATCGATTCCCATGCATACATTTGCCAGGTACATTTATATAATCAGTAAAACTTCACTAAAACTTCTTTACTTTTTTCAGGTTTCTGTTCCTTTCTCTCCTTAACTATTACCCTGATTTGGCGTATGAAGTAGGCCTCCGAGCAATGCGATTGCCTCTTTTAGAAGAACATGAAGACTCTGACGACCCTATAGGAGGAGGGAGTAGTGGAGGTTCCCTAGCATTGGGTCGGTCACCTCGATGGTACACTCTAGGCCATATTGAAAGTCAACAGTGTGCTCTTAGTTCCACTATGCTTAGTGCCGCTAAAGGTAAGAAATATGACATACCTCAATAACTCGGAGAAATTCTTGTGTAAGGTATTTTCAGTTATTCTTACACTTTTAAATACTTCTAACCAAGTTATATTATAAAAATAAAATTAATATCACATACTTAGTGTCACTCTTAATGTTCGCTACATACAGTCGAACTTCGATAAGTCGAACTTTGATAAGTCGAACCAAATTGGTTGGCAATAGCGTCAAAAGTAGGAAATGCATGGGTTACTTTGTCTTGATTACTCGAATATCTTGATAACTCGAACGAAACATTTGGTGCCTTCGATAAGTTGAATTTTCTCGGGAACCCCCTAATACGACCGATCTTAACCTGTCTTTTTAACGTATCTATGCAAGCAGTTCGGTTTCTGTGCTTGCTAAGTTCACTTGTATGACTTACTAGTTAATACAATACTAAGTGAAAAATACTGTCCCTATTCAATTTACACATTATATTAAAGACATTTTTGGATTTTTGCATTTGTTGATATGTCATCAAAACGTACTTTGAAAGCGTTGTCTGTTGATCAAAAATTCAAGGTTATAAAGGAAGTGGAAAATGGCTCAAAAAATAAAGATGTAGCTGTGAAGTATGGGATTTCGGCAAGTACAGTGTCTACAATTTTGAAAAATATAAATTCAGTCATCACCGCAATGGAACGTTTCGAAGAAAACAATAACATTACACTAATGGATTGTGTTGACGACGTAACTACCGCATGGAATATCGACGTTAAGCCTGAAACAATTTCCAATTGTTTTAAAAAAGCCGGTTTTGGTCAGTATTCTGAATGGGAAGTAGAAGATGAGATTCCCTTGATTTTCCTAAGTGAACGCCTGAAAGAAAAAAGTGAACACGAAATCCAAATAGAAATCGAGTTTAAAGCTTGGACAAACATTAGAGGTATAGCAGAAGGTAGCACCATCACCGATTTTGTACATGTGGATGAAGATATTGTTACTTCAGAGTTTCCTACTGATGAAGATATCGAGTCCTGCAGATCCGAACCGGTACAGTTAAACATCGAAGATGCACTGCGAAAGTGACACGATGGAGGAGGAATTGGAAGATGATTCTCAGCAACCACCTTCAAATGAATTGGTTGAAAATTCGTTGATTGTCTTGCGTTCTTATTTGAAAACCAGTGAATACACAACCGATTCCCTCTGTGATTGTTTAAATAAAATTGAAGCTTTTGTTGAAAACCAAAATGAGGAATCCGGTCGTCAGTCACAAATAACTGACTTTTTCCAGTGAAAGAGTAAACTTTAATATGTACATACATATGTATGTATATGCGCATACATACTATGTTTATATTTACTGGGTACATATACAATACATTTGTATGTACATATATTATGTAAATACATACATACATATGTACTACTATTTCATAATTTTCGTTTTTTGTTCAAAAATCGTAGATATTAGGGCATTTATGAAACGTATAATCCGTTTCAAAAAGTGAATGAATATTCACATTCATTCACAAAAAAGTACATGCATTTGTAGTTTTTATTGATAACTTGAAATTTTCATGTGTCAAAACGCAGTTCGACTTATCACTTATCGAAGTTCGACTGTATAGAATAACTATTATGTGCAAGCAAATAGCTGCTAAGAAGCGTTATGTTTGCTGATAATACAGGAACTGATAAGGCAACTATGGTAAAAAAAAAATCAGACAGGTGCTTTCAATATGCACATGCACGAAATTTAAAATTTCGTTTTTAACCAATGACCCTGCGACATTCAGCAACCAACTTGGAAGCTGGCAGATCGTCAATAAGTTTGGCTGCGGCATTATTTTCACAACATATCTCCAGATCCTATTAAATTTTCAGGCAAAAAAGAGTTAAGTGTACGGATATCGCTGTTTACAAAATGACATTGCTCAACTCGCTGATTTCAAAATGTACTTTTTAGTTATTGGACATATAAAACAGTTATCCCTCCCTTTTGCTAGTTTTATACTGACAATAACACTTATAATAAACTTTGTTAATTTATTTGTCATCTCAAACGGTCATTTAATTGTAATCTAATAATTAATTGTAATAATTGTATTTAGAGGCTACTTTTGACTGTTTTTATTGTTTTGGGACGATATTTTCTTACTTAGCTGAAATGTTTAAGTACCGGTAAGATAAGTAAAAAGGGATTTGAACTGTTTAAACATTTTTTGGAGATGTGAAAAGAAAGTTTTGACGAAATACTGAGTCATGCGAAGGCCCAGGTAGAGCAAATGAACACAAATTTTCGAGATGTAATAAGCGCAGAAGATAAACTTCTTAATCTGAAAACTGTCGTTTCATTCTTCTTTGAAATTTCTAAAAAAAAGAATAAAATGAAGGTTGTCTAAAGGTTAGAAAGACTAGAAGAATCAAATATTATATGTATATTTTTTTTTAAAACAATTATGACAAAGTTATGACGGAACTTGGTATTGACTTCAGTAGTCCAGTAAGTACAACACGGAGATATGATAAACACTGATTTTGAGAGCTTCATAGATACATGTACATTTGACTTGTGTGTTTTCACCTCATATCTTTTTTTTTCTTCTTAAATTCGTTCGAGCTAAAAACGAAAATTGAGTATATGGGGATGACATGGTGGTCAAAAGCGACCTTGAATACTGTATACTAATGGTGCTGGAGGCAAGGCATGACCATAAATCCCCGTAAAACGTTAGTAATACCACTCACCGGTAGGACAAAACTGTGCAAATTGGTACCTCTCGGAAGGCCTGAATATCGGTCACAAAAAACTATATTTTGGCATATATATCCTCTCCAACCATATGGTTCTGTTGTTTTTAGGAGAAGTAATGAGACTAAGAACTATCCTAGAGTCATCGCAAAGGCACATCCATAGTTCTTCTCATTTGTTTAAATTGGCACAAGATGCTTTTCGTTTTGCGACACCCGAAAGTGGACCTCGACATCCCACACTCTTGAGTGTTGCATTTGAGTTGGGACTGCAAGTATGTTGTTTATTTGATTTGTTTGTTATTAAGTAGCATATGTTTCTTATTAATGCAGGTGATGAGAATGACATTATCATCTTTAAACTGGCGAAGACGTGAAATGGTTAGGTGGCTCGTGACTTGCGCAACAGAAGTAGGCGCAGACGCTTTAATGTCGATCATGCAAAATTGGTACCAGTTTTTTACGGCGACAGAAGCCACTGGACCAGTAGCAACAACAATAATGTCTCATAGCACTATTGTGCGGCTAAATTTGGGATTTGCTCAGCAAGAGGAACTTTCGGGATGCGCGAGAACGTTGGCCCTACAATGTGCAACAAAGGTATGTTAAGCTGTATTTGAATGTCGCTTATATTAAGTATTTAATAACTATTGTTTTTAGGATCCGCCTAATTGTGCCTTAAATGCTCTTACTCTTTGTGAAAATGAAGCACTGGCTTTTGAAACAGCTTACCAGATCGTGGTTGATGCAGCCTCTCACATTATGACTTCATCACAACTATTTACAATTGCTCGCTATATGGAACATAGGGGATATCCAACAAGAGCTTATAAACTAGCTATGTTGGCAATGAAAAACGTACATCTGGCCTATAACCAAGTTAGTCTGTTTTCAAATTTACAAGTTTTCAGGGACTTATTATTTATTTTTAAGGACACTCACCCAGCGATAAACGATATTCACTGGGCTTGCGCATTGAGTCATTCTTTGGGAAAGAATGAATTGAGCAATATGATTCCCCTGTTGGTAAAAAATGTACAGTGCGCGACTGTTTTGTCCGACATATTGAGGAGATGCAGTATGACAGCTCCCGGTATTTCATGCCCTCACCCAACTTCATTAGATTCTGGTAAACATCAGTCACATCAACATAGAAGTAGAAGCTGTACTTCAGGTAAGTGTTATATATTTACTTTTTGATAACATGGAAAATACTTTTCAATTTCTACATTTGCAGCTATTAAACCCTTGTCATACGATCGTCCCCCGCTGCGACAGCTTTTGGAGGCTGCGGTTGCAGCTTACATAAACACCACTCATTCAAGATTGACTCACATTTCGCCAAGACATTATGGCGACTTTATAGATTTCCTCACAAAAGCCAGGGACACCTTCATTTTAGCCCACGATGGTCACGCCCAATTTACACAGTTGATTGAGAATATGAAGGTTCGAATTATTTCAATAATTATCGCAATTATCAATATTGTTGTTGTGAAGTTTATTAAAGTACCACTCTAGCCGAATCTGAACAGCATCTTATAATATTGCGTGCGTTTTGAATTTGTTTTTGTTAAATTTTTTGAGTACTTCTAGAGAACTTTGTAAATGTTTTCCTTTTTTGTAATTTGTGTCACTCTATAATTGGTAGGTTTCAAGCAATGTGTTGTCAATATGTCGAAATAAAGAGGTTAAAATTTTGAGGTCATTATCTATGATGTGCGTTGTGTGTTTAATTAATTTGAATTTTCATTTGCAGGTGGCATATAAAGGCAAGAAGAAATTGATGTTTCTTGTTAAAGAAAGATTTGGCTGATGACAGTTAAAGAGGTGTTGCGTGAATCAGCCGCCTCTTTGTTGTAGAAGATCGTAGGTAATCCCACTTCTTGTAATCAATTACTTTAAAAAATGATATACCATTTTGTAATAGTTTTTGCACATTAGTTTTTTTTCATCGATTTTGTTCACATTAACATATTTATTCATAATTTTGTCTGGTTACACTCAATGTGGAATTGCACAAAGTTGGCAGTTGATAAACTGAGGACAATAAATATGAATAAGACAATCAAATTATTTTATCATTCTTAATGTGAAGAATTTTAATTGATAAATGTATCGTCCCAAAAGTGTGTACTATTACGAATGGTTAAGCAGTTTACAATTAGTGGGAGGTTTCGTTTGTGACAAATTTTCACATTGCATTTTTGTTAGACTGATATCCAGTTGCCTACTTAGTGATAGAATGTCGCGAATTTCTCTCGTAGCCGTTTTAATCATATACTATGCAACTTCGATCTCATAAATTTATTGTTTTTATACAAGTATTATTTTTAAGTAACTTAATGTTTTTTTTTTGTTTTTTGAAGTTTTTTTGTTGTATTACCAAAGATTGTTGACTGTATTATAGTATTTGTGTACATACATCACGCCGTAGTTGTAAGTACTAATTGTGTGAAACTGGCAAATTAACTAAGTATTGTATAAATCAGTTGCCTTACCAGCCAGCACCTATATATTGTTGGGTTGGTAAGGTAATAAAAGGACTAATGCTTCCTTTAAAATCATACTATTAAGTACAAATAAACCTTGCGAATAGTACATCTTTCACAGTACTGTTTGTTTCAAATGCTACCTCCAGACGTGGTGACCATGCATATAAAGCTGGAAGTTATTTCTAATCCAACTGTCAATCAATAAACTTGTTTGATAGATTCAAAAAAAAATACTGCTTCAAAGCTTCAATATTACTTTTTTGAAATCTCACCTCAATTTTTTTGGTATTAACACCTATATTATTTTATTGTTTCATATTTTCAGAAAATTTTGGTATAAATTTTCGTAAAGCCGATTATAAAATCGTTTTTGCACCATAATTGGTTACTTTTACTTTGCATTAGGGAAGGTTTAAAAAGGAGGAGATAAGTCGCAATGTTGACATCATCCACTTTGTATTGAAGTTTTGTTAAGTCTAGAGGCCACATGTTCTATGCGGAACATGAAATCTCATGAGATTAAATTTAAGTTTTTAAAAATTCATAATTAATTATCTTGATATTTATAAATATTTGTCAAAACTAAGGAAATATATTTTTATATGCTACACAGTAAATGTTATTGCAATTGTGCCAGGTGCCGCTCAATTTTGATTTTTTTATCTCGGACTAAAACAATACATTCTATTTCTAATGTGTATTTAAGAATTTGTTTTTGGCAACCTTTCGCATAAACTAAACTTTTTTTGTAGAAAATGACTGACTGATCATCATCATCGAAAACTTGGAACTGGTGTAACATTTTGAAACAGTGCATTATCGATGTATCTCCTTCTTACACACCTCCATCATTGACATACTTTGTAACATTCTGATTGTAACACATCTGTTGAACTCATGGCTTTTGGTGTGGGTTGAAAATTGTGCAATTTAGTCGCAGCTCGTTAAAATATTGAAAAAGGTGATATTGGATCCAACCCAAAGTACTTCGGGGCTGAATCCTTGTAAGGTTTGTGGGCTAACTCAGTATATGTATGTCGATTTTTATTTATTTATATAAATATACATCATGTGGTTTTAGAAGGCGTTGCAAATTTATTCCTTTTCGGAGTTATTTATTTGCACTGATTTGTTTAATTTAATTCAATTTAATTGACTTTAATATATTATTTAAGACACCCCATAATATCAAATAATGTGTCTGCTGTTTTATCTAAATTTGCAAAATTTATTTTTACTTTCTTTTTTAAGGCATCAAAAACTAATTTTTATTTTATTGTCTATTTACTTTATTTATTTTAGTATTGTAAATCTTTATTAAACGAAATTCTGTTTACCTCTTTCCATAAAAAAAATCTGTCGCTTAACTGCCTTATAAAAAAAAACGTTATACATTGTATTGTTTCCAAATTTAAGACTTAAACATTCCATATAATTTGGTTCATAATTTCATGGCGGGGTAATAGCAAAATGCCATTTCTTCCATTTGCAGCATTGATAAATACTGTAATGTTGCTTCTGAATAACCCTTTATTCATATTTTAATTACTGCATAAATTTTATATTAGAAATGTAATATAATTAAACTTAAAAAAGTGAACGCTTATAAGGATCTTTAAGTGGTAGTGTTTTGTGCAAAACAGACTGCAATATTTTAAGATGTTAGTTAAGATATCAGCCAGTAATATTTTTAAGATAAAAGAATTTTTACATACTAGACATATTTTTATCTGTGATTTTTGTATCTTTTGTTTTAGAATCATGTTACAGTTACATAGAGTTTTTACTTATTTCCTTCCTTTTTGAAAAAATATTGTTTAATTTAGCCATTATTGGATATTATTGGATTGGTATATAAGCATTTTTTTTTGTAGAACTTTTTTTTATTCATTTATAATTGGAATATTTATAAAATATAAAACTTTGTAAGACTGTTTAAAAATTTGCGATTAAACATTATACAATTTTACTGCAACTAAAAAAGAATCTACGAAACTAAACTTCTGTTTTTAATTTGAAGTTCTTCCCCGCACTCTATGTAACTGTGGTTTTGTGCCACATAATTAACAAAAACTTGTAATTATATATTTCTGAGCCAAAAGAGCTAACAACATTTTTATTTCATAAATACTCGCTTTTGGCAACAACGTTTTATCGCAAAACTAACCAAGTTGACAGTTTGATAGTATTGGGTTAGTTGCAGTGCTGAAAATTCATGCATCAGTTTTGTTAATTTTTTTGTTTGATTTGCCAAGAAACTCTCAAAACTTTAGATTTTTGTAAAAGTTATAATTGCGCTTAACTTTTGAGTTTTGAGAGTTGCACTGGCCATTGTACATATATCTAGAACAAGAAGTGTAAATATTGCCAAAACGGTAAATGATGGAAAGAAATTTGTTAATAAAACAAGCAATCTGTATGTGTATCAATAATTTATGGATTATTTTTATGATAAAAAAAGTAAAAAGTATTTGTAATTCACACTTTTTTATTTAAAACTTAAAACTCGTGCACAAAGACACCAATACATTGAACATAAGCTCCCACCCTCACCCCCTGTAGATGATTAAGGTGAATTCTTAAATGAAAATCCCCATTTTTTCGTGAGGTTTCTCATTTCAAATGTTCTTTTATTCTCCAACGGTAAATAGTATTTTTACATATGTCAAAAAATTTCAAGGAAACATTAAATATGTAAAACTACGAATCGAACTTTATTCTTATTTCGGACGAAAGGTGTAGAAACAAATATATCCCATCATCATCTAAAAGTTTCTAAAATTGTATTTTACATTTGTAACACTACACGAAACAACAATGCATGTGGTGGCGAGTGCTGTGAAATTTTGCAACATAATTTAATATCTGACAAAAATATAGTTAGTTGAATTTATAATATTGAATATTTTAAGTTCTAATTTCTGCAATTGAATCCTGTGACTTCTACAAAATATGAAAAAAAAAACACGCAATTCTGTAAAATAAATTTTATTTTTAATTTTTATTGATGAGATGACATCCAGACAATAATTTCTGTCTTTTATTTCTGAGAATCTAGTTACAAAAAAAGTTACAAAAAATCATAATGGGAGAGCATTATAGATTTCATAGCCTAAGCAATTGGATTTCTGATTTTTCATTTAACTTGAATGAATATTGGAATATATAAAAAACCAAAGCAAAGATCTTTCGGACATGTTGAAATTTTCTCAATCAAATTGTTTTACTCTTTGTTGTTGCTGTGAAGAACTTTGACTTGGAGATTTCTGACTTGTTTCTCGGTTAGGCGGGTCCGATTTGTCTGTTGTGCGACTAGATTCCGTATTTTTGGTAGACGTTTGGCTGGACTTAGGACTGATAGTTGTTTTGGTATCAGTAGTTCCTACCGGCTTTGCAGTAGTGTTAATTTGGGAGGTCCCAGCAGAAGGGGTAGGTGGTTTTGCAGTTGGTGCTTTAGTTGTAGTTGTAGGTAGTTTGGCAGTTGTTGGGGCGCTAGTTGTAGTTGTAGGTAGTTTGGCAGTTGTTGGGGCGCTGGTTTTAGTTGTAGGCGGTTTTGCAGTTGATGATGGTTCAGTTGGTTTGGAAGTTGTTGATTTTTGAGTTGTACTTGCAGGTGGTTTGGCAGTAGTTGTTGGCGCTTGAGTTGATTTGGAAATTGTTGGTTTTTGAGTTGTTTTTATTGTCTCAGATCTTTTCACTGGTTCAGGGGTATTCGTCTCGCTGACTGTTGCGGTTGGAGGTGCCTTCTTTATTTTTTCAACCTAAAAGTCAGACTTTTCGTGATAATATATGAAATGTTAATACTATGACAAACGATATGTAAAATCCCGGTGTGGGTCCCAGTAAGGACCATGAAGTATCTTAGGGAAACCGGAAAAAAATAAAATAAACCAAGAGAAATGCTAGAAATGATTTTCGAGTCTCTGAAATGGCGACCAGGAGGCGTAATTACTATCTTAATTTTTACAACCCGGTTTCTGCAAAATTTTATAATATTATTCATAGTCTCTGCAGGGAGACATGTTAGACCAAAGTCGACGTTACGACACCAAACAAAAATCTTTTATTTTTGTGGTATGAAGCTGAGAATAATAATAAATAAAAATGTGCTCCATAACTTTCAAGAAAATTTGTTAGTTTTATTAATAACTGTTAATTACCTTCAAATTATCCCATCCCACTTTCGATAAGGGTATACGTCCTATATAATCATTAAACGGAGAACCCAGATAAAGCATGTCATGAAAAATGTAAGCTTCAGATATAGCTTGAATTTTTCGATTTAAACTGTGAATGCTGTCAATAATTTCACCGTTTTTATTAAGCCTTAATATGGTCATCCTAGGATTCTGCAACGCTAGCGGTATCGACGCAAAATGTCCAATCTGAAATAATTGTATATAAACATAGCCGCAGATTAAAAATATTGCTTTTTTTTAAACTTTGTCCCCTATTTTCCAACTTATATAAACCATAAAACTGATATATGGTTTTTTGAGTTTAGAAAGGTAAACAACAAATCATACTATTTTACTGGTAGCTATTGGATACCCTCCCTATTCTACCCATTAGCGAGTTTGAATCGATAGAACCCCGGAAATACAGAGTCTAAATCATAGAGGAATAAAAAAACGAGATTTTAAACTACAGGGAAGGAAGTGTTCACGACTTTTGTGCGCAGACTGCGCGTAAAATTAAACATTTGTAACTAACGCTATACTTTTTGCAGTTGTCAATAAGCAACACCTATTTATTTATAAAATCAAAAGTTTAGCCCCTTTGATACTTGTATTTTTTCCCCTCATTTCATCTTAGAAACTTAGAAAACTAAGTTAAATTAGAAGAAATCATGTTCAGACTTTGACAAATTATTTATCCAATAGTTTTCTCTGAAAATTTGACGAACTTAATATGTATTAATAATGTGGAATCGAAAATCTCGATTTAAGCAGTAATTGAGCTAAAAAATGTGGGCATTAAAAAGCTAACTGGCTCCAGAAAAAAAGAAAGGCATTTTTTGCTACCCCAAATTAATTTTTGACAAGAAAAATAGTCACATTAACATTTTACATTAGTTATTATTTCCTTTTTTGTATTAAATTGTATTAATTCCCATAAATACCAACTACACTCATAAGAAAAATACTGTAAACTATTTATGAAGTATTTAAAACACTTGCTCTATATGGAGCATGTTTTAGTTTTTACCTACGTACATATTAACCCTGTTTATTAGCTGGTGCCCAATTTTTTTTACTACTTAAAAGTAACAAAAAATTACTTACAAAGTGAACGCATTTAAAGCCAAACTCTGTTGGGTAAGCCTGATTTAATGTATCGATTAAATATTCTGTTATTGCCATAAATCTTGCTACCAATTTTCTTATCCACGGTAAGGGTCCCGCCGTTTGGTATAGTGCTGGATATTGACTGTCAATTCCAAAAATCAGAGGAACCAAAAATCCACCTTTGCCGTCTGGTGTAATATTATCTGGTACACCAGGCAAACCATCAATAAATATGTCGTGAGTACCTACAAAGTAATGAACACTTATTTTCTGTTAATTAGTTATTCAAACAATAGGCATTCGTTCGATTTTGATCTTTATAATCAAATCAATATTACTTAAAACTAGTAAAATTTTGAGGAATTGCAATCAGACTGGTAGAAAGTATTGTATTGTAAGTATTCAGGTTTGGAGTGTGTACACCTTATATGTGATGAAAGTGGGGTGCTACAAGCATATTTTCAGTGATGACAAACATTTCTGTAGAGAAAGAAATAAAAAATATTTATTGTTTTCTATATACAAATGCCCACAAAATGTTACATACATACATATTCACATACAATTATTATATTTTTGTAGAATTTACTGGAAAATATGACCAGGCCAAAGATCCCTCTCATACCTTTTTTTGGACCCTTCAAATAATAACGATGAATACGGCTGCGGGCCGTTTCGGCGATCAGGATAAATTCTTCATCATCAGACAGTGAAACCCCATTTGCAAAATGAATATTGTCAATCAAAACAGTATTCTGTTTGGTTTTCGCATCATAACGAATTAATCTAAAAATAAAATAAAATATATAAAAATATATATATATATATATATATATATATATATATATATATATATATATATATATATATCCCAAAATTTGATACCAAAATCTAAGATTTACAAAATATCAATAGTAAAATTCAAGACTATTCATCTCTTCTACTAGGATTCAAAGCATCAGTTACGAGGAGTTATGTTACGTGAACGAGCACTAAAAAGTTTACTGAACTACATTTCAGTGTTTAACACTCGTACATGTAACACACAATAACGCGTTTTACCACAAACCGAAACTCAATTTTACGTACTCGACGCGCGTTTCGTCAACCAAGTTTTCATCTTCTGGAGAAGATTAAAACTAAACTTAATAGAACAGATGCTTTCTATATATATATACATATCGGGAAGTGAGAGAGGGAATTACGCACTGTTTGTATTAAGTTTAGTTTTAATTTTCTCCTGAAGATGCCAACTTGGTTGGCGAAACGCGCGTCGAGTACGTAAAATTGAGTTTTGGTTTGTGGTAAAACGCGTTATTGTGTGTTAGTGCAGTGCTGAAGGTTCCAGTCAAGAGTTTGACTCCTACATGTGTTATTGAAATGACATATTTTAATGTGTGAATTTCTGCCTGAGATAGAGAATTGCTACAGCTCTAAGAAAGGCAATTAAAAAAAAGTGGTTCATTTTTGATTAGTTTCATAAATTCCATAAAGTCCAAACAACAAAAAATACTTGGTGCCATTATTATTACTAACAAAAGTGAGAAAGTCTTATTACCTCACTCACTGATATTAAAAGAGGCTCTGAATTAATTTTTCATTTCATCACAATCATAATTTTTCTCCCTTCCACTAATTATTGACGTAAATATACTTATCAATAGGCAAACATTTCCATGCGAGGGTAAATAAAAAAAAATATTTTCCACTTCAATTAGAAAACAAACAATTTTAAAAATAATTCTTTAAAATCATAATATTATTACCCAGATGATTTTAATCAAGTGACTTAAATCACTTGATTTTTTTAATTTAAAATCATGATTTACTTAACTCCTATTTTTTAGAATCTTTTTTTTATTGAGACCAACACAGAGGGTACAACGTAAAAATATTATCACATATAAAAAGTAAAACACCATTTTAAAAAAAAATAAGACAAATCACATAGTAATATACACTTCATGCTTCTGCATTTTCATTACAGAGTTTGAACAAAAATACTATTTTTCACCCTTTTCCTATCCCCATCCTGTTCCTTATATCTGAGTGTACAAAAGCAAAAGTATTGAAAGTTTATTCTACTGACGCTGAGGCAGCAGTTGCATACAGAAACTATTTTGTTATTGGCGTGGCAATTTCTGGTTTATTCGTTGGTGACTTGCACCAATGTACGCCATTTATGTTTTTTATTATTCCATCGGAAAATAAGATTTTAAGCGGGAAACTGAGGGATTCAACTTTACTACTAATGGCAAAAGTCCAGTGTTTCCATTTAAATTATTAAATTTTTCTATAGCGAGAATGCCTGCTTATACTGATCCTGAATTTTTTGTGTTTTTGGCGAAGGTAATTCTACAACATTCTAGATGATATATTGTACACTGCGCTACAGCATCTGAGATAGTGGTATATTTTCTCTGCAAAATATCAAGAGCAACTAATATTGGTTGTAGCATACTTGAATATTCTTGTGCTGCATGTGTATACCCAATATTTGACACCATTTGGTAAATGGTCAAATCATTTTGGTTTTTGTTTTCTTCATAGATTTGTAATAATATATCCCACTGAAGGACGTGCATCTTTAAACAATAAGCAATGCTAATCTAAACCGTTGCTTGACTGAATTTCGCTCTCTCTAGATGGTTTTCGCGAAAATACTAAATTTTGAGTCCGTCTTTGCCTCCAAAATTTTTTTCATGAGGGCCATATTTACTGCATTATCTGTCACAAAAAATGTTATCTCACAGTCACACTGTGATTTACATGAAGAAATTATCATCAGTCAAATATTGCTAAGTACGAGGTTTTGCCGGAGTATCAATAGTTTTGGAAAGAAAAGCTAGTCCATCTTCAGTTGTTATTGTTGCACATATAACTGGCTTATTGTGGACATTTGACCAGCCATCAACGGATATATTCACACCTAACAGGGAAGAAAAACATTTTGCCTTTTCCTTCAATGTATGAAAGCTCGAATTAGTAGCAAAAATTGCTTTTGCTATTTGTTTGTCAATCTTATCCTTTTCACCTTTTTGATGTTCGCATTACAAAATTATTAAAATTAAGCCGATTTTCAGTGTTTTTCTTTTTCCTTGTTTGGACTTCTTCTAAGGCTTGACAAATTTGTCGTGTCGTGGAACTAGGAAGATGTAGTAGCAAGATCTACAGAACTGTCAAGAGACATTCGAGTACCTAAAAAGAAAATAAAAACATTAAAAACGTAATTTATAAATTTATACCATTGTTAATAAATGATAAAACAAATAGGCGCCCAAGCTTCATTTAAAAAAATTAGTAAAGGGATTTTATTTCATTTATATTTATTTCAAAATAAGTATCTAAAAATTGTAAACCTTAACATAAATAAAATATGCTTGAATTCAAATTTTGGCAAGAAAAGGCATAAAGGACATGATATTTTTTTAATAATAAATGCCTCAATTCTTTTGAAAACATTTTTGTGAATACCATACTTTTACCTTTTACAAGATGCAAAGTTAAATAAAAATGATGTAATAATAAAACAAAAATTTACCTACCTGTATTCGTTTCTTGCTGCATATTATAACAAACATCATGGTGTGCTTTAAGTCTCTGAACTATAGCTTGAATTTCTTTCTTGCAGATTTTACAAATCACTCTACACCCATATTTATTTGGATCTGTTGTTTTAATGTAAAACTGCCCTATGCTATTTTCTTTTCTTCCAGCCATTTCAATGTTTTCACCAAATGGTCTATTTTCCATTAGTTCCACTACTTTGATAAACCACCAACTAAATACTGAGACGTATTTGACAATGACAATTTTTAGATGGGGAAAAAACAGGTCGCGACAGAAATTTTCTTGCAAAAAGCGCGTTCAGACGAATGCTTTGTGTATATATTGTACTACATTATTTATAGTGCTTTTATTTATTTTTGTAATTGTTACAAAAAGAAAATGGGAAACACATATTCTTATGACATTAAAAAAAATAGTTAAAATAAAAAAATTATGATTTTTTATACATGAATGATTTTTGATTTTTTTTTTAATAAAAATCAACGTTTGCCCAACACTGTTCTCACCTAATAAGTACTAAAATAAAGCTTAACAACTTCAGGGCAGATTTCTATAAACACAGAAATAAAACATCATATCTTAATTTCATCAGAGCAGAAAAGTAGCATTGGTAATAGTAATAGTAGTAGGATTGGAACACATACTGGTAATAAGAGTACTCACCTTCCGCTGGGATCTGCCAACAAAACATAAATGCCATTCTCCAACTTAAAATCTGATGAGGAGTCACTCCAATAAATATCACCATTGCTAGCTACAGCAACACTATTAAACAACTTTGGAGTTTTGCCATTTATTTCTTGTAATGGGCTTACTATCTGTTCTTTACCACCTAAAATGCAATAGCACAATTTATGTCACAATAGAACTGAAAAAATCCAACTCACCCGTTTTTATGTCAACCTTAAATAAACCATAGTAAGCGTCAGCTGCATACAAATAACCATTTTTATCAACATCAATCCCTAAAGGCCTACCACATATGGCTTCCTCATAAAGTCCTTTGCAAGGCTTGCCAAATTTTGTTATAGGGGTGATATGATTTCCACTTAATTTTACAATATCACCCCCGTGAATTGTAGTATATAATTCACCACCTAGCTCTGCGAATGACTCAGGACCAACAAATTCACCTTTGTGCAAGATTTCAACATCACCAAAAGATTCCTTCAGTGCTAATTTTCCTTCAAAAGGAAGTAAAGGGGCAACCCTACAATAATATGCCGGTTAACCAAAAATTACCTTCAATATTTTGATAACTATTAATGTTTTAAGCCAATGAATGGCAGGGTTCACACAAAGAATCAAAGTTTAAACATAGAAAAATTTATTTACTTTAAGAAAAAAATTATATATCGAGATTGGTTTAAGGATTTATTTAGGCCCACGAAGTACAAGAGAGAAAAAAAACAAGAAATTAAAAATTATGTTTGAATTAGGATTGATTTTCAAGAAAAAATAAAATGCTAACGTTTGTAAGTAGATAATTAATTTGATTTAAATTAGGTAAGTAAAATCAAGTTTCAACTGATAAAGACTATTTGTTTCATTGTTACATACAAAAACATACTTACCTAAAAGGTTCCTTAATATTAACAAATGGAGGAAGTCTGGGAAATAATCCTATTAACGCCACTACAACCGCAATTTCAAGACTTCGTCGAAACAGAAAACTGATGATACCTCTCACTCCCATTTTTATATTTACAAAAGAATTAAATTATAAAAAAACAAGAAAATAACCTGAAACATAATATTTCAAAGGTCACTTTGAAATATATATATAAATATTTGTACTTTGTACCCCTCGACGTGAAACGATCATACGTCTTTGTCTTCTTCGTTTCTTATTTATTATTCCAATTAAAGTTGTGTCAGTCGCGATTGATTCGGTCACTTTGATTCAATCATTTCAATCAAGCTGGCCGAATTGCCTTATGAAGCAGTGGCCAAATAAAGCGTAATTAAAAACACCCAACATTTTGATTCTGTCGTGAGCATTGCACGTGACGATTTAACCTCCGTCCTCTCCCGACAGAATCCCTTGTAATCGTTCCCAAAAAAACTTGAATCGGTTTCCACTGTGTGAATTTAGCGTTCTTAACGTTTAGAGTGAATGTTTTAAAGTGTATAATCGTTGTCGGCACCGCTGTTTTTTCCTGTCCACGCTGATTGAAGGCCGGATGGGCTCGGATGGTCTGAGTCCGCTGTTTTCTTCCATGCATGCCGGTTAAAGGCCGGTTGGACCCGGATGGTCCGTGGGGGTGGCCGTTTTTTGCTATAGGTGAAAGGTTCTTTTTTGCAAAACCCATCATTGCATGGGAGAGACTACAACTTGGCAACAATTGGACATTTAACATTTAATGCCTTCTAAGCGACGTGTTCTTGTTTGAGCCATAGAAACAGATACAGTAACACTTATAGCTGTTAGCTAATATGGTGGCCCGACTACGGTAAAAATTGATGAGCTCTAAGGCGGAATTGATATTTTCATAGAGAAGGCCTCAACATATCACCCACTAACTTACACTTTGCGCCATCTTCTTTCTAAACAACGATTTCTAAATATTGACTGTTTTCTCAAAACATTTAACGAGATCTAGGCTTATTTTGAAAAAATATTGCCTTAAAAATTCCGAATCAAACTTATTCATGCCATGTTGGATTTTGAATGCCGCAAGGTTATTGGCCAAAAAACGAGATTTTAAATCTCGCGCATGCGCATGTTGAAAGGCATTTTCTTTCATAGTTCCTTCATAAGTTCCTGTTTTCGGCCTAGACAGGAACTCTATGTTTATAGTACCGATATGCAGTTATATTACGATACACAGTTTGCAACTCTGTCTATGATCATTCGCCTATAGGTCTACTGTCATAAACGTATAAAAAAACAAAAATGATCAATAATTTAACTCTGGATCTAAAAAGGAACATTCGCCTACCATAGAAAAAAGAGCTTTTAGTCGGTGCCACGTTAACCTCGTTTTCTGTTTTTGATTGGAGTGTATCTGAAAATATTTGATTCGTAATTTTAACAATGCCTAAAAAAGCACATAAAAGAAAAATTGCTGAAGTGGAGACCCCAGAAGCAGTAACCGTTCTACCTTCCGTAAAACATTCTGAAGAACCTGTACCAAAAAGAAAAAGGTGGACCAATAAACAGCGTGTTTTAGTTTTGGCCTCTAGAGGAATAAATCACCGCGATAGACATCTTATGGAGGATATAAAGAAATTGATGCCGCACCACAAACCGGAACCGAAAATGGAACGTTCTAAATCTCTAAAAATTTTAAATGAAATTTGTGAGATGAAGAATTGTAATAAAGCTATTTTATTTGAAGGTAGAAAAAAGCAGGATTTATATATGTGGTTATCTAATATTTCAAATGGACCAAGTGTAAAATTTTTGGTGGAAAATGTTTTTACCATGGGTGAACTCAAGTTAACTGGTAATTGTTTACGAGGATCCAGACCTTTATTGAGTTTTGATCCATTATTTACAGAAACTCCATATTACAATTTATTAAAGGAACTTTTGGTTCAATCCTTTGGTGTTCCCAATCAACACCCAAAAAGTCAACCATTTTTTGATCATGTATATACATTCTCAATAATTGACAACAAAATTTGGTTTAGAAATTTCCAGATTTTATCAGAAGATGGAGCGTTGGCCGAAATTGGCCCTCGGTTTTTATTAAATCCAATAAAAATATTTGCAGAAAGTTTTGGAGGAGACATACTATGGGAAAATCCACTTTATGTGAGTCCTGCTAAACACAGACAACAAGTTAGGTTACAAGCAAAAAATAAATATATAAATAGATTGCAACAAAAAACACATTCAGAAGCCACAAGACCAGTAAACAGTTACAAATTGACTCCTCTTGATGATTTGTTTAAAGAAGACCCTTTAAAAAAGGCAAATGAATTGGTTAAAGGGCATGGAGATGAAAGTAACAGAAATGAAAAAACAAAAAAGAAAAAGAAGCATTTCGTAGGTAACAGTCCCAATTTGATAGTAAAAAATAAAAAAAGGCATCTTAAAAAGTCCTAATTGAAAATTAAAGGAAATGTAATACAAAAATTGAATATGTGTGTTTCTTGTGTACCTACAAGTGTTAATAATAAAAGTTAAAGGAAAAGGAATTTTTATATTGTATGCTAGACTAGAACCCTACCTGCCATTATCATTGTATTATCCCTAATTTTAGTTCTTTATTATCATTGTTCAACATTTATATGATTTTAAATCGACACACTTTATGCTATGATATTTTACCATTAACCTTTAGTTAGAAGATAATGAAAAAGACTAAAAGACAGTTTTGTTGAAGATATCCTTTATTTAGCAAACTGCAAACAATAATTAAAAATAGCTTTGGCAAAGTGACAGTTTAAGTTTATGATATTAGTACAGGGAAATTATGCGCCATATATAAACCTATGCACATGGACTCCTTGGACATTTTTGATATATGTGCTGAATATTACTTTGATTAATACAAACAAACGCTAATCTTTTGGTTTCGCGATAGAAGAGTTTCTTTTTAAGCCAATCGCTACTTTAATTAAGAAATAGAGGATATGTTATTGTATTTAAACTGTTGCAAAAAAAAATCAATAATACTAGTCACTTCATTGACTTGAAGAATCTATAAAAAAAAGTAAATATACAACTTCAACAGGCAATACAGAAAAAATAGAAAACAAAATAATCGTTCATTTGCTAAAAAATAGTTACATTAAAAATATTTTAATAATTAGTCAAAAAATGTGCCATGGAATTATCTCATTCAGTGTTGACATGAAGCTTATAGAGATATTAAAATATCCCCACACACTTAGTGGTTTTTAAGAAACCCACAAAAAGTGGGCACTTTTAAATATATCCGACATTTGTGAAAATATGAACAGCAATTAAAAATTTACATTTTCTTCAGTGATGTTCTAAAATAGTTAATATAATACGTTAAACTTGGTTTCGTTACCATTTAAATTTCTCGGCGGGTGCCGCAATAAAAGCATAGGAAGAAATATTTGAACAGAAAAATTCTTCCTATAAATACTACTGAGTGTGTTTGCTGCTGTGAAGACTATTAGTTACTTATCAGTTTGAGGTTAGAATCTAAGTTATTGAAAGGGATAGTTTCCTTGACTTTTGCGTTTTCTATACAGCCACATGCAGTAAAAAAGAAAACTCAAATTTTTATTGACAAAAAAAAATAGTTGAATAGCTATACCAGCTTTGGCTAGAAAGGTAGTCAGCTATATGCAAAAATATATATATAAAAAAAGAATTATTTTATGGTAATTAAAAAACAAAAAGAGTTGAAACTTAACTAATGTTTTGAAACACACTAGAAGGTAAAATGAAATTGCATAATTGAAGGGCGGGAGGAATCTTTACACCCCAAAGATTATATAACAATAACGTTCATATCATCACATTTATCAAAGTAATCTCTTACAGACTGGTGCGTGCTATTTCCTTCTCAAATTGGAGAGTTTTTATTAAAAATTTATTAGCGCAAAAGTAACACTAAAATGTAATCATAAAATTTGTAACTTCTTCCGATTCCCGTGTTCTGGGGGAGGGATTCTATGTCATCTCTTAGAACAATCTAAGAGAAGCATAAGCAAAAATTATTTTTTCTCCATATGAACGTATAATTAAATCTCAGCAGATTGGTAGCAGAGTCAATTTCTTTGGGAATTTCACTATTAATATATAAATCACATGCAAAACTCATAAGCCATGAGAATACTAACAAATGAAACAATATTTTTGCCCCAGTCAAAAATAGCCTATTTATAGAAGGCTCCTAATATACACATTATGTTACTAGAAAAGACACTTCCTATTCAACTTGATCACAATTTATATAAAACTATAAAATTAAAAAGCGCTCATTTCCAATAAAAAATAAGTTATATTCAGCCTTAAAGTGGATATTGTAAAGTTGGAATGTTAATATCAATTTAAATACTGATTTTCTTGATAAAGCATATTACAGACAGTAGTCAGTAATTCCATATATAAATTTGGTAACCAAATAATCAAGGCAACTTTTAAATCAGTGCATTCAAAAATGATGAACAATCTTCACATACTAGGCATGCAAGTTTTTACTTAAAAAATCACCAACTTATTTTACCGTCAAGTAAGCGTAAGCAATACCATACCACACCACATAGCAAGATATTATTTTTCCTTAACGGTAGAATTTAACTTCAGTTTCTACACAATCTTTAAGCAATTCATCAAATTCTGAAAGATCTTCGCCAACATTCTCTATGACCTGATCCAATTCTCTGACACAATTTGTTTCCATATTTTGAAGAAGTTCCTGTACTTGGTTGCTTTCTGTATTTGCCTTCAAGTGAAGAGCATACAATATGTGGGGACTCTAGAATCACAAATAATTTAGTAGGTAGTATTTTAAGTAATATTTGATTTACAAACATGACTTACAGTGTTGTCTGGACACACTGTATGTTTTGAAATAATGGCATTCTTTGTAAAAATGAAAGGTTTGAAAACAGATATTGAAGGATCTGGAGTAGCAGTAAACCAATGAATGCTAGGCCGATCAGAACTGAGAGTAGACACCTAAAAAAAATCTATAATAAATCTTAATAATAATGGAACATCCCTAAATTACACATTAAGTTGGAGGTTTGAAGGCAGAAAATTCAAAGAAAAATTACTTGAATAAAATTCTTATTGAATCAAGGGTCACGAAAAATCAATAAAATGTGACAAAATAAAATGAATTTGTTGACTATACTTACTTGACTTCCCTGAGTAGGAAAATCATTTTCGCAAGTTCTACAGATGCCAGAGTCTTTGTCACGTAACACTTTAAACATATCGGTCTCCCTAAAGGTATTTAGTGAAGTATATTTCCTTAACAACTCTTTTCCTGCCAAATACCTAGCATCTCCAGGTTTTTTCTCCCCCGAAAAAACTTCACAGAAATTAAATTCGCCCTAAAAATTAGCCTTTGATTTCATTAATTTAATGCACTAATATCAAAGGATTACCTCTCCATTCCATAAAGATTTTAATTTTGCATATTCTTCTAAACCATCAGATTTTTTATCAATTTTAGTAGTAATAGATAATACATTGGAAATGTTCCTGTACCCACCTGAAAAATAATCATAAAGAACTTTTTACAAAACTTCTGGATTCCTCCTGCGTCTGTTTCTCCTGAGTCGAACTTGGTGACGTTTCGCCAATCATCCTGTCTGGCTTCTTCGGAGCTAAATGAGCGGCATAAACATCGTCTCGGATGTCTGATTCCCATATTGATGACAGGTACAGACCTGAGTCGCGGTTGAGATTGTTAGGTAGGTTCTTTATAGATTTCTATAGACTCTCTTGGTAGAAGAACTGATTACATGCAAGAATTTTAGTTTTATCGAATAAAACTTTATGTCTGGTTACATGAGTGTGTTCGGCAAAACCTGATGACTTTATTTGTCTTAGTCATAAGGCTCTTTCGTGTTCTTTGAGTCTAGTTGATATTTTTCGTCCAGTCTCTCCAATGTATTCTCCTGGCATCTCAAATGGAAGTATGAAAATAAAATTACTTTTACCTCACACTATTTTTTAACATAGCGGTAAGTATATTAAAAAAAGTAGGAATGTTTTAACACGAAACCAAGTAACACCTTCGAAAGAATTGTTTTTTAATAAATATCTCGCATTCCTACTTCCTCGGAGCTTTGTTGTTGTCAATAGCATCCTTAAAATGTATCTTCTTAAATATATTTTAAGGCTGAAATCATATGATCTAACAAATTGTTTTTGATGAACCAGAATTCTTAAACTTTCTTCGCCCAGAAATAATTCTTGCTGTAGCTACTTCTTTATCTGAGTCGATTTCTATATCCGACAGGAATGAAGAAATAAGTGATTTGAGATGAACTCGAAATTTGATAACTTCAGGGATAATTTTTTCGAGGGCAATATCCTTTATTATCGAGGAAAGGGACAAAATATGGCGTTAAACTTTGGGCATTCAAAATAAATAAGTGAAAACCATTCATACCTTAATCACTAAAGCAACTTTGTGTGCCCGATGTTGAGGATACATTCTCTTTGTCCACGTCTAAATTGTCGTCTGTGACATCTTTCTGTAAATTTTATCCAAGTTGTAATTCTTAAACATATCCATGTTTTCTTAGTCCACTAGTTGAAAAATTTTCGTTACTTTGGCGATTGGGTAAACATCTTGTGGAATAACATTATTATTAAGGACCTGTGTAACAAGTGCTATTTGTTTTCTGAGTCTGGAAGAGGTTAATAATCGGGGTTTTGTACCCCACTCAGTTCTATCTTGATTAACTTGGGTATGTAAAAAATATATATTTTCATTCAGGAGTATTTGTTTTGATCTTGTAAATAGTTTGATAAAACTGTTGCAATGTTTTCGGTAACATAATACTTACAGGCCTGCTTCCCTTTCATATAGCAGTCATGCGTTTATAATGTCCGGTGAGCAATTTTTCATTTTCAGACACAGCCATTGTCATTTCACTTTGAGTTGACAGATTAAGTTCATTTTCTATTTGTTCTCTATAAGAATTCATATCACCTTTTCCTATTTTGAAGAATTCTCTGTATTAGTACCGTTTCAGCTAATATTTTGCAGTCGGCCTGATTTTTTATTAACTTTAGTTTTACAACTGCTTCACGATCTTTTTCCTCTACAATCTTACGCAAAATCAAAACACTTTTTGTTAGTGGTAACAGTTTGGGTTTTAACGCAGTGGATGATTTTAAATTTTTGGTTGCCAGACTTCCGAATTCAATGGTGCATTGCGACTTAACCAAAGCTTTGAAACGTTCTAAATTCTTCATAACTTCTTCAATATTGCTTTTTGTTGGGATTATAGTTATAGTAGTTCCAAAATGTAACGCCGCGGATCAGCTCCAAATGTTTTAGTATCTGCGTCGTACCAAGATATGGCTTTTACTGCTTCAACTACATCATCGGAGCTTTTTGGTTTTAATGCTGAAAGCATATCGCTCTAATTACCGAGCTTTCTAATTTCTAACAAAAATCTAGCACATCCTCGCAATTTATTAGAGATATGATACAGACGCAGCGCAGCATTTTTTTTGATATCTTCTCCATAGCGGGCTATCAGAATGTCATTAATGGCTGTGTTTTGCTAAATATTTCGTTCCTTACTGACATCTTGTTTAAATGTTTGCCATACGTTTTCTACATCTACAGTCTACATCTAAAATTTTATCGAATGGATTTATTAGTTGGATAATGTTCTCTATCCCGCTATGTAAGTTTACAGAGTAAAAATCTTCTTGCTCCTTTAATGGTGGTTCACTCAATGATAATTTTGTGCATGGTCATATATGTTTGATGCATCGCTTTCCAAATGAGTTGTTTGGCTACCTAAATCCAAATTTGGGTTTTATGTAACATTACATCAATTTGATTAGTGGTTTTGTGAGTCACGTTGAAAATGAGATGCATGGCAATTTAAATTGGACGTGTAATTTAAATTTGAAGCACCTTCATTCAACTCTGTTACATATTTATTTGGAATGATGCAGGATATGCCAAATTTGATATATTCGCATATGGTCGATCGTTTGTTAGATGAGGTGCGTAGGCATTTAAATTTGTCATAATATCCGAATTTGAGGAGCCGTCATCTAAATTTAAAATGTAGTCGTTTAAATCTGGTACATCGTTATCAGTACTTAATGCAGTGTCGTCTAAATCTATTACTTCGCTCGCTGCGTTTTCATTTTAATGATCTTAAAACTTAAAAGAAGTTAGTTTGGAAAACTATTCATGATCAGCTATTGTCAGTTTTGAACAGTATTTGAATAATTTTTCTATATTTATTGAAATTTGTTTCAATAATTTAGAAATGAGAAAATATATAGCGAAATCCAATTATACAGGTTTACTGATCGATTGATGTTAAATAAAGTAAAAAAAAAACAAAAACTTCGAATAATTTTTTTTAAGTTGCAACTAAATAATCAAAAAATTTATTTACTTGCGACCAACACTAAATTTTCCTTAGCCCTTTGACTCACTTTGACAGTTCTACTTACACACTTCATCACCTAACATACCCGCGAAAAATATCGCACAAAAATATAATGGAACATTCAAATCGGCGTTGCCAAATTTTGGGTGTCTAAAAGTCGAAATATTATGTATTTGCCACATAATACAGATTTTATCTACTTTAGATACAAACTTTTTGCGGTGCGCCTCCTGCGTTATAGCGACTGAACTCCTGGCGCATAAAAGGCGATATAAGAAATTAGGCATATGGCTCCCAGGAAAAAATCTGTCATTATTCGTTACAGAAGGAGGGGATACTGATTTTGAAATTTTCATGGCTAAACGTTGTGGCACCCAAAAGTGGGTGCCGCAACGTTATATATGGTGTCAGATGTACAAGTTTTATTCACCCTAATATATGTTTTTACTATTGGGTTGGAAACTAATAATAACCTTCCATTCTTAGATATTCTTATCAATAGAAAATCGAACTTAACATTAGGTCATTGTGTTTACAGAAAACCTACGAACACAGACCCATACCTTAATGCATGGTCACATCACCATCCGGCCCAAAAATTATGGGTCATGAACTCTCTTGTTTACAGAGCCGTAAAACTATCTCAGCCCGAGTCACTGAACCCAGAATTAAAACGCCTTACCTCTGCTGTTCTCTCTAATAATTTCCACATTAAAGATATTAAGAGTTTCATCAAAAAATACACTACACCACAACCTTCCAATAGCAATGACGCCGAAAGCCTTCCTTACATTCAAAACATCACTGACCATATATCAAAAGTTCTAAAGAAGTATAACGTCAAAACCAGAATTACCACTTGTCCAAAAATATCTCAACATCTTCGGTCCATCAAAGACAAAATTCCATTTGAGATGCCAGGAGTTTACAGCATTCCATGCATATGCGGCAAAGAATACATTGGAGAGATTGGACGAAAAATTTCAACTAGACTCAAAGAACACGAAAGAGCCTTACGACTAAGACAAATAAACTCATCAGCTGTTGCCGAACACACTCATGAAACCGGACATAAAATTTTATTCCATAAAACTAAAATTCTTACATGTAATCAGTTCTTCTAGCAAGAGAGTCTATAAAAATCTATACACAACCTAACAATCATAACCGCGACTCAGGTCTCGACCTGTCACCAATATGGGAATCAGTCATGCGAGCCGGTGTTTATGCTGCTCATTTAGCTCTGCCCCCCTCAAACAATATATAAGCATATCAGCAGGTACAGAGTAAAATGTGAGCCAGTTTCAGTCAAGCTCTGAAGAAGCCAACAGGATGGTTGGCAAAATGTCAGCAAGTTCGACTCAGAAAAAACAGACACAGGAGGAATCCAAAAATTTTGTAAAAAGTATTACAGTGGCCTGTGGAAGTTTCTTTGAAAAATAATAAAGAACATTCAGGTATTTAACAATGTATTCAAAACTTACTGGTAATTTTCTCAGCAGCCCAATGTTTACCAGATGTTTCCAAAACCCAAGCTCCATTAGGATCAGCTATTAAGAATGAATTGTGATATGTAAAATGCAAATCAGTACTAGAACATGGTCCACCTTGACCATATTTTTCTAGCAATTTGGTTATAATTTCAAGGGCTTCATCAGCTGTAGAACTGCGTTCTAAAGCTAACCTAAAAGTGGCGATTATAAAATAATAAATAACCATAATATCTACTAATAACTTACAAATAATTTCGTTACAAATAATTTAATCGGTTTACTTATGTGAAAGAGAGAAACAGTTTTCAGTTGTAACAACATAGAGTTTCTAAAAATATTGAGATTGATTAAATAAGGAATCATACTTTTAAAATTTCATGATTAACAAAAAACTCACAAAAACAACTCAATCTCCAAGTTCAGTGTGCAAAATTAATCTTGTAATACTTTTTTCCATAGCCAATCAAAATTCTAATTTTTTCAAATACTTATTCACCAAAATATATATAAAAGATAAAAATATATAATAACTTACCTAACTAAATCCATCCCCAACAAACGTTTAACATGGGGATCATGTTCTCCATCATTATCATTTGTCCAAATGGCTTCATTTCCTACAGCAACTCCACATTCATTGGCTCCCATTTCTGCGCCCCACATCCAGTTTGGCTTACTCAAAATGACTGCTTTTGTTTCTTTAACTGCATCAATTTCTATATAAGTACACTGAAAAAACAATTAGTCTATTAAAAAAAAATCACACTACCATTAAACCAATGAATTAACAAAACCACCTACTTTAGTTGAAGTTGAACTTTCACTAGCAGGATAGAACACTACTTCCTGGATTTCGTTTTGGGGTCTATCCGAATTCTTTCCAAATACCACTCCATGCTTAGTTAGCGGTGGTAAAACGACAAATGTGTCGCAAGACTGTGGAATTTCCATATCCTAAATAAATTGAATCAGTTGCGCGAACATTATATAATATTTCAAAGGTAAAGTTTAAAATGCACTGAAAAATTCACTCTTATTTTTTCATTGAACTTGAACAAGCAAAAGTGCCACATCAAAATTATTTAGAGAGAAATGAGAATGTATAAATAAAGAAAATGAAACATAACAACAACAAGGGGGTGCGTATTGTAATAGTTTGGGACATACATACCATTTATTAAACCCTTTTGTTAATATTAATTTCACAAATATTCTGCACCTCAACAAGTCTTAAAAATTTACACAAGCACAGAGTAATACCAGAATTCTAAGCAGAGTCTCCATTGGCATAGACTAAGTTTAGTTTTGGTTTGTTTAGTTCAGTCCAACTATGGAATTTCATCTTACATTACATTACTTTTATTTGGCTAACTAGTTATGCCAATTGTTTAATAAACGAAGGATTTAAAAAGTCTACCAAACGTGTTGCATACTATACTTTTTCTTGTTTTTGCAAACAACACAAATACATTCACTGACATTACCACCAGAATTGACAAACGTCAAAATTCAAGCCGTGCGGTAAAATCTTCGAAAACATACGATTGCTCCCAAACCTGTGCGATATTATCCCGGAAATGCCCGAAGTGTATAATTAGGTATTTTGCAGAAGGGAGTAGAAAGAAACCTTTAGAAAACAAATTCCAAACAGTGAAATATACTTGTCCAATACAACCCACAGCCATATTCGGTGAGAAGTAGAGTTCAGTTTGAAAATGTTTGTATTGGTATCTCAGAAACCTGTGATCGACAGAAAAACAGTTAAATGGTTTAAGTTTTATTTAAATTTTGTTTATTAAATAACATCGAATAACTGCAAATTGATTGCTTCTGAAAAAAAAATGCCTTTTGTTTTTGAATTCCGTTATGAATTTATTTTTTGTTTTATTTTACAATGTATCCATTCGCATGTTTAACTGGAAGCGAAATATTTTTGCGTTCTCTTAAGGGTTATACGATAGAGAGACTTGTCTGTACAGTATTGTTTGGTCAAAAAAAGCGGAACGCTATACAGTGCCAATACGATGCAAGCAACTTTGCACAAACTTTACTATCAAAAGGTTTAATGAAGTTTTGCAATCAGAAAATATGTGGCCAAATGTCGGGTTGGTGTCTTTTTATTGCTTAATTAATTTACCGCACAAACTAGTTTATGCCAACTAAAATCTTGAACTGGGCGATGTTTGCACAAGCCGCTCTTTCAAATTTGTGCGAGCTACAGTTTTGCTGTCTACATGCGATATTACATACATACGATACAACCGAAAAACGTGTGGTAAAGTCTGTACGTGTGGCCTTTTATACCCATTTTTAGGCCATTGCCCACTGCCTAATTTAAGTTAAATTAAAATATAGGTCATAAAATTATATTCCATTTTATTTATTTTGTGCATTTTTTCTAATCAGTCAGTCAAAATAGCGGGTCGGAATCGATTTCGTAATTCCATAGTTGGTGCTTGAATATTTTATGCATAAGTTTTACAATGCATACATTTTTCTTTATTTGGTTATCTCATATTTTTTGAAAAAGCCAATTTTGTTTCTATTCCCACGATATATAAAATAAAATGATATATTTACTAGAGAGATATTTAAAAACATTTTGCGCCTTTTCACACACAAATTCTAAGTATTTCTGCGGATAAAAATATTTGCAAAAATTTTATGTCTGTTATACGAGTTGCAATATTTTTATGAAAAAAAAAACATCATCACTATTCTGAATATTCTGTTCGGAACTAATAAATTTTTGGCAAATTTTAATTTGGGATTTTAGGCAAAGTTTGGTAAAATATTCGACTATTTCTTTAATCATTTCTACAATAAAATTAGTTGTATCTGCTATGAACAACTATTATCAATAGAAAACTATCCCATAAATATAAGCGGATACGGATTTGTAGGATCCTGTTCGACTGTTGTGGCGAAAGGAGAGAGAGGCCTAGAGTCCAGCTCTGTACTTCGTAAAAGCCAGTAGGTTGTAACAAACCCCTTGCCTTTCAGTTCTACTTCACCTCTCAATTCTAGTCGGAAAGTGCCAAATTTGTCGAATATTTGTTTTGTTGCCTCACTGACGTGGATTTTCAGAGCTAAAATAAATATAGATATAATAAATAATAAATAGACATAATAAATAATAAAGTAGATATTTGATGGGAACTACGTACGTAAGGAAGTATTTCTTAATTTAAGATCTAATCTCTAAACCGCCTTGATTTATTACAGACTATACATGTCCGATATTTCAGAGGGTGATGTCTTACGTGTTTTAAAGCTATAAGGTATTTTTGCCATCCTGTATAATTTCCTAAATAATGTCCATTTTTGATGAAAATTAGTACCTGTTCTTAATTTACCTCTGGCGCTACCAAAATGTATTTTCTCATTTTCAAAGTTTCATGACTTACCGTACAACCCTGTATTATATTTTTTGTGAAAAAATGGATTCCCCACTCATTTTTACGGTGGAAAAAGTCCTTTTGTTAAAAGTTACTATACAGGGTTATTCACGGCTCAATTAGACGTTTATGGAGAATGACTTACGACAAAAACCTGAAATGTTGGCTACTTATGTAAGCGAATATAAAATATTTGTGGCCATGCGGTGTTGCCAGATATATCAATATCATATATAAACTTTAGTTATTTGAATGGAACACCCAGTATATTATTACATTTTTAGATTTTGTGAAAAATTCTGGAACTTTTCTATGTTACATGTACCATACCTATCTTGAACTTACGCGTACAGGGCGTTCATAAAATAAGGCCCAATTGGCAAGATATAAAAACCCATGTTACGTGGGCATTTTGAATGAAACACACCATATTTTATATTGGCACGTAAATGAGCAATTAATTTGATATCTAAAAGTACGAAACTATGTTTTCGTGTTATAAGCAAAAAAAACAAAATATTGCAATTAAAGCGAATTCTGGCCGGCCATGGTGATGTTTTTTATAAACAAATTTGTCTTTGATATAAATAAGCTTAATATTCCGTTATAAGCCTGTTCAAATTGGTAATTGTAACAGTGAAACTGGATGGAAATAAGTCGGTTAAAGCCTGCTACCCACATGAAATGTGATTAATTCGCTTTAATTGCCTAATTTTGTTTTTTGGTTTCTAATTCGAAAACCAGTGAAAATAGACATACCATAATTTTAGTTTTAGTTTTAGTTTTAGATGGCAAATTAACTGCTCATTTACGTGCCTATATAAAATATGGGGTGTTGAATTTAAAATTCCCACGTAACATGGATTTTTATATCTTGCCATTTCGATCTTATCTAATGTAAGCGATAACTTAATTCTCATACTATATTAACCGCAACTAAAAATTCAGGTTGCGAAAAAAATTATTATTGTATATCGGGTTGGGAGAGCTAGCAGTCAGCCTGTCCGTCACTGCGACCCGGAGGATCTATTGTGACTTGTATATCGGGTTGTTTGTTGCAACATTTTTTGAAAAGTATTTTTTATCTCCGAAAATGTTCATTGTACATGTTACATAAAAAAGTTCTAGAATGTTTCGCAGAATCTAAAAATGTAATTATACACAGGGTGTTCCATTTAGTAGTATATTAGAATACGAGGCATGTGTGCGTAGTGCGTGTTTATCGACTCCATATTTTTAATCCAGTTTAGTGGTATTTTGTTTCAATTAATTATTGCAAATACCCCACAGTGTGTCTCAGTACTCATATCTTCCCCCTTACATACTTTTTGTTGACGACTTTTTGTGTTTGGAAGTTATTTCAAGTAAAACATCATCTAACCTCCAACTTACTGTGCTAGTCTGATCGTGTCAATAAGGTGGTAACTATGGCTGGCTGATCAAAGACCCGTAACGCATCTTCTAGTGAGGCCAGATCTGGAGATGATATGGAGAAATTGATTTCTAAAGTCTGTACTAACTTCTACAAGCAGATTGAGGTAAATCTTTCTCAGCGTTTTGATAGTATCGATGGCCAACTTTAGAATTTGAGTGATAGCTTGAATTCTCTTCAACTTACTGTTGGCAACAATTCTATGGACTTGCGCAACTTAAATACTGCAGTCGACCAAAATAGTGAGATGATCAAAAAGAACTCGCTTCGTTTCCACGGCATTGATGAAACTGAGAATGAGGATTCAGTTGAAGTCCTTGTGTCGTTTCTGAATGATAAACTAGGAGTTTCCTGTAGTAAGGAAGACTTGGACGCCGCCTTTAGAATAGGGCAAGCCGGCGGGGATAAATCTCGTATTTTGCTGGGTACTTTTGTCCATGGGTGGAAAAGAAATGCTATTTTCAGCGCCAAAAGATCACTTAAAAATACTGATTATTCCGTCTTTGAGAATCTCAAAAAAATCAGGTATGACTTGCTAATGTTGGCAAAAAATAAGTTTGGTAAAGCTGGAGGGAAAATATACTGGAATGGCCAGACACGTGAAAGATCTGTAATTTCAACGGAGGACGATCTAAAATAAGACTGGTAAAGTTTTTTAGAGTGCGCATTCTTGTTGCTTTTTTTTGGGCTTACTGCTGTATCGGTGCTATACGCCTATTTGTATATAGATCGGGCGATGCTTTTTTTATTTTTTAGTGTGATGAATTACATATTTTTTTGTTTTCCTTTTTGCTAAGTGGGTTATGAACAATAAGCACTATGGTTTTTGGTTTGGGAACTTGGTTATGTTTTGTTTTGTTTTTAAGTTGCATAATATTTTTTGGAGCAGAAAAACGCAGAAAACTCATAATTATATGGAACAAGCGCTGCTTGAGTATTGTCATTTTAATGTTCGGTCTCTACGTACTTCTTTTGATCTTTTTGCCTCAACAATTAATCATCTGTCTTTAGACGTTATTAGTTTATCCGAAACTTGGCTTAGCCCAAATATTTCTAGTTTATCATTTAATATTGAAAATTATAAATTGTTAAGGTGTGATCGCGATGGTAGAGGGGGTGGTGTGGCTTTTTACATTAGAAAGAATCTAAAACACAAAGTTCTTGATAATATCGTCTATAACAATGTAGCGCTTGAACAAATGTGGATATCTATTAATATTGCTGGTAAGAGGGTTTGTTTGGGAATCCTTTACAGACCACCCCACTTGAATTTGAATAACTGTCTGCAGTCACTTGAAATCCTTAGTGGGATTAATTCCTGAATATGATTACGTTATATTTGGAGGTGACTTTAACGTTGACCTTCTTGGAGTCAATTGTAATAATGGTTCCGGTATTTTTTCCAATTTTTTGAGCAAATACGGTCTTTTTCAACATATTCGGGAACCTACCAGGGTTAGTCATAGTACCTCAACTCTCATTGACTTAATTGTCAGTACCTCTCCGAATATCGTGATGGAGTCCTGGGTATTTAAGATGGAGGGCATCTCTGATTATCATATGGTACACTGCAAATTGAAGATACCTAAATCTAACCCCAAAGCATTTTTAAAAACCTACAGGGATTTTTCTAATTTTTGTTACGAACATTTTCTATTTGATTTAAACAATATTAATTGGGATAAAATATTCGAACTAACTGACGTCGATAAAATGGTGGAGTTTTTTAATACTAACTTACTAGAAGTGTTCAGCCTGCATGCTCCTTTAAAAACTGAGAAGATAACAAAACCGCCAGCTCCTTGGCTCACGGAAAACTTAAAAATAATGATAAAGTTGAAATATAAAGCGCTGTCTAAATATAAGAAACAGAAAACCGAACAAACCTGGATTGAATACAAGGAGTTGAGAAATCTTGTAAATATGGCTGTTAACTCGGAGAAAAAGGCTTTTTTACAACACAGGTTTCTTGCGCATCCAAAAAACTTCTGGTGTGTACTTAGATATGTTAATGTGTATTTCGGACCTTCAGTAAATACAGATGTCTCAAATATTGCGGATGCTAATGAACTTAATCAATACTTTTATAATGATACCCGTCAAACAGACTTAAATAACGATTTCATTAACCAGTTCTACAACAACCCTTCAAATCCAGAAAAACTCTCATCTTCAAGTGTTAACTCTAATGAAGTAGGAATAATAATACAACAAATTAGAACTCACGCCGTGGGGCCTGATGGGATTGATAGGAAGATGACATTATACGTTATCCCCCAACTTTTGCCGCATATTACGTATATTATTTATTAATAAGTGCTTGCCTACTAACAAATTCCCTAAGCCCTGGAAATACGCTAACGTTATTCCTGTCCCTAAAACATCTCAACCGGATGATGTTTCTCAATTCCGACCTATCAGCATTCTCCCTACTATATCTAAAGTACTAGAAAAAGTTGTTGAGAAGCAGCTTGGAGATTTTATAGCTCGGCACAATATTCTACCTCCAACGCAATCGGGCTTTAGGGCAGATTATGGCACAAATACGGCTCTTTTAAAAGTTTGTGATGATATATTTCGGGCAAATGATGTAGGCCTGAATACCTGCTTAATATTACTTGATTATAGCAAGGCATTTGACACCTTGGACCACCGCCTGCTCTTTGCTAAACTGAAATACTTTGGTGTGGGGGCTGGTGTGTTGCAGTTTTTCAAAAGTTACTTTTCTGATCAGTGTCAAAGAGTATTCTTCAATAACAGCTATTCCAATTATATAAATATTCCCAAAGGTGTAGCACAGGGTAGTATTTTAGGTACGATGCCGTTTTCCGTTTATATCACCGACTTCTGTAAATTTATTAAGCATTGTTCCTCCCATCAGTACGCAGACGACACTCAAATATATCTCTCTTTTAATTACTCTCAAATTAATACCGCCGTTAATAATATAAACAGTGACCTACGTGCCCTCAGTGATATTTCTAGTAAGCACGGTCTGTTACTTAACGAAAATAAGACGCAACTCATAGTTTTTGGTAAAGATAAAGGAAAAATAATTAGTCTAGACCCTGCCAAAATTTAATTAAATGACCTTCTCTTACGGCCGGTTGTCGAATGCAAAAATCTGGGTCTGCATTTGGATAATAATCTGCGTTTCGAAGGTGATGTAGCTTCATTGATCCAGAAATCGTTTTACAAGCTTCGGATTCTCTACTGTAATAAATATATTCTGGACACAGCAATTAAGTTAAATCTTACCGATTCCTTAATTCTCTCCACAATTTCATACTGTATGGTAGTTTACTGGCCTGCCCTACTTCAGAAGGACAAGGTTAGTCTTCAGCGTCTTCAGAATGCCTGTCTCAGATTCTCATACAATATTCGTAAATTTGATCATATATCTACTAGCCTAGAGGATTCTCGCTGGCTAACATTAGACGAACGTTTTATGTCGCAGGTTTTAGTCTTAATTAAAAAAGTAATATCTCTCCAACGTCCGACGTATCTTTTTGACAAACTTACTCGTGGATCAGATATTAATTCGGTTAATACTCGCCATAGGGGGCTGTTTACCGTTCCCAAACATACTTCAGCACAGTTTCAGCGCAGTTGTACCTCACCTCGCTAACTTCATTGAAACAAAAACTTAAGCAATACATTTATCTTTATAGAGACCGATCATAAAACTAGTAACTATCGAATTGTATATACGCATTTCTTTTTATATTTTATTTTATAAATTGTGTCATATACTCGTTTTAGGGGGTTGCATGAGAGCAACTGTTGGATGCCGCCCCCACAGTTATATATTTTTGTAATATATCTCGGTCGAAACCGAATAAAGGCTCTTTATAATTATTATTATTATTATTTAAACAACGAAAGTTAATATACGTTACGAGTGTATCTGGCAACACCGCATGTCCAAAAATATTTTACATAGGTGGCTCATATTAGCTTACATAAGTAGCCAACATTTCAGTTTTTTACAGACATTCTTCATAAACGCCTAATAGGACACTCACCGTGATTAACCTTGTATATGCGATATATGAATTTGGATTGAAGTAATATGTTTTTAAAAAAGTCAAACGATTGTAATAAGGAAAAAAAAGTTCTGTGAATTGCGCTACAATGAATGACGAACGTTACATCAGTGGACACCCACGGATTGGTACAAGACAAGTTCATGACATCTTGCATGATTGTTTGGCCGTTAGCAAGCTTTTGGCGCGCTGGGCGCTAAGGCTTCAGAACAGAAACTCAATAGCTTTGATACTTTTATCATCAACTTAATCCGGAGGATTTTTTGACTAATTTACGATGAGAGTTGCTTCCGCACCCACCTTATTCCCCGGGTCTTCCACCCAGTGATTCTAAACCGTTCGCAGATTTGAAAAAAACCTGTACGGAGTGCTCAATTTGTAAGTTTAACTCACCCAAAAAATATGTAGAAAAACTACTTTGCAGTATTAACAAAAATTAATAAAATAATAAAAATGATACCTAAATTCCCTCTTGAATCATCGCTCGTATAATACAATTTTCACTTTTGCCATCAGAGCAGCACTTTATCAATTAAAAATAAAACTTTGACTCACTTCTCGAAAACGTTAATAGTAACTTTGTACCGTAAAAATGTTTGAGAAATCACCCTGCGGAAAATCTGAAAATTATGATGCATTACAAAGCTTGTAGCTTGCTGTCTTTAGCTCTACTATTGCTAATGAAAACTAAAATATTGAAAAATCCTAAAATTTAGTACTACATGCCAAAATTAATTTAGCATTAGTCAAAAAAGTAAGACTGACCGAACTCGTTTTTCCACAATAAAATATGTGTTATCTCTTAATACAGCAGAAAAAATTGGATAATTTTAGAGTGTCCTTTGGAAAAGGAAGTCCCAATTATATATTTTTTAAAACTGATGTTGGTGGAGAGTGAAAAATCTACTTTTGTATAGTGGCACCAGCAAAGAGCATTTTAAATTAATTTTTAAAATGTCAAAAACAGAGAGGCTGTAAAGGTATGCCCACAATTTTCCGATAAATTTTGAGTTACTGCGATACTATTCTAGGATGGCAACTGGCAACACTGGCAAACGTTTATATGCGGTTAATTGTTCAATAAAATTTGTTCAGAAGTTTATAAAAAATAACCCTTTATAATAGATAGTAGGTTATTTTAACTCACGTTGGCCGGTACTTTCCATTCTGCTGGCGGTGTTGACTGTATCACCAAATAGACAATAGTGCGGCATTTTTTGACCCACAACTCCCGCACATACCGGCCCCGAATGTATTCCCACGCGTAGTTGTAGTGTTCGGTCAGGTTGATGTTCAATTGTAAAATTGCGCACTGCATCCAAAATGGCCAAGGCCATAAGGCCGATTTCACGAGCGTGATTATCGCCATTTGGTGTTGGCAATCCAGATACCACCATATAAGCATCTCCTATTGTTTCCACCTGAAACAATATAAAGTTTTCATTTAATTATTTATTTTAGTCTTTAACCCTATATTTCACAGAACTAATTATTAATAATTTTTTAAAACAATATTTCATATCCTCTATGCCAAAAATGAAAGACCAGAAAAGGACAAGTTATTATACTCGATGCTAAATCGTAAAGTGGGAGAGACGCCCAAATTACCAAAATGTTTAATAACGAAGAATCCCGAAAAACTGGGCTTCTTCTGAAAATAGTGAAAAAACCTAGCCAGTATTACCTTGTTTAAAAATAAATGGTGAAATAGATTTTCCAAAAATATGAATAGTTTCCACTCAATTAACTATACACCGTACAAAAATTGTTTTCTCTATCTAATTATTTTTCGATTGGTTTGCCGGCTATTTTACCTTGTATACGTCATACGATCCTATTATTCTATCGAACGTGCTGTACAAATCGTTTAAAAAATCGACAACCTGCATTGGAGTGCTGGTTGCGCAAAGTGCCGTGAATCCAACAATATCGCTAAAATAAATAGTAACACACTCAAACTGTTCCGGCTGCACCATCTCTCCACTCATTAATTGTTGAGCTACTGGTCTTGGCAAAACCTTAAAGAACTTGGTTTTGTTAGGTTATTATTACGATTGAATAATTTATACCTGGTAAAGCAGTTCTTCGGATCTTCTCTTTTCTTGACTAAGCTCTTCAGTTTTTTCACTCACAAGTACTTCGAGGTTGTTAGCGTACTGTTCCATTCTTCTGAGAAGATCGTCCATGAGATTTTCGCAGTAACCCCTAAGCAGGTAGATTATAAAGATATTTATGAAGGTTTTTTTAAAGTGTTTTTTTGCCTTAAAATCACTCAATGTTCTCAAGTTGTGTCATGTCAACAAGGGATGGGACTTACAGCTATTATTTGCAAATTATTAAATATGAGATGAATTTCAGCTTGCTTAGTTTATTAATTTCATTTTTAGATGTTACTCAAACAATAATTCTGGTTTTCTTTCATTTTTAGAAAAAAATTGATACTTTTTTTTAACAAATGTTAAAAGTATCGGGTATCGATTTTTTTTTACATTTTCGCGAGGTATTACACTAACATAGATAGAAAAATGCGATTTTCACAACCTGTGTTTTTCTATTTTGAATATTCTACATCTTTCCTATTAGATAAGCTATCACGAAGTGTGCACTTATATGAAATGCCCTGTATATCATTTTGTATTTTCTTTGATACTCTTATGGGCCTTCAAAAAATATACATTTGCATACAGTCATTTAAAAAATCTCAAAAGTTAGCAGCTTCAATAATAATTCACTTTATTTTTAAGTTAGTAGGTAGTAGGCTATGTTTAATAAACTAAAAATAGCAAAGCAAATATTCAGAAATTGGTTGACCTGTAAATTTATAATTTATAATTATAAGTAAATTTATAATTCATCATCAATATTTTTATTTTTGATTTTGAATGGAGTTTTATGCGAAATAAGAAATAACGTTAAAAATCTGTAGGTATTGTAACTTTGTAAGGCAAACAATTTAACTTTCAAGTTATGGAGTTATAGAGCCTAGAAACGTCATTCTTGACATGAAATCAATAACCACATTATTTTCCGGTATTACCGGAAGTGGGTCTCAAGTGCTATCCCGAAAATATTTTATTACAATAGCTCAGTTACTTTAGTTTATTCCGAAGCTTTCAAATTTTTTCTAGTTACAGTTTTATTTATGTACGTTTTATCCACAGGCATAGCATAGTATGGCTGAACTTACAATTAACGGTAGGTTAAGACTACTAGGTCAGATATAAACTAAATAAACAACAAGTCTAAAAGTAATATTCGAAACACTTAACAAATAGATAACTAAAACAAACATAAAAATAATGACTAAAGAGAGCCAAAAGATCAATTTGGTAAGGATCACTAGCAAATCTTGCTGATCTGGAAATAAAAGTATTAAGCCCATGCATCGGGAGGTGAAAACTGCTAATTGTCCGGTAGTCCTAGGTGGAACATGAATGCAGATCTTATCATTCGGCTTAGCCAAGATTCTCAATGCTCAATACTTTTACACAGTCTTCGTATAAGTCGAACATTGAACTGAGGTGGCTTTTACTTGATGAAAATCCATTTATCAAAATAAATAATAACTAAAAGTTCAGATTTATATGTCTTTAAAGACACGGTGTTCTCGAAACAATTGTCATGTAAAAATATATAATTTCGTGAAAATCTGAACTTTTAGTTATTATTTATTTTGACTTTGTATAAGTCGGCGAAGTTCTCGGTGAAACACCTTACGTTTCAGTATTGTGGTGGATTACGTTTTAACTTTTACTTACTTCATCATCGATTTAAGATTACTTCTAATGAATTCGAAAGTAGGTCTTTCGTCCGGATTGTCATTCCAGCAGCTTTCCATAAGTTCCAGAAGTTCTCCGGGGCAATTTCTTTGAGTAACAGCTGGTCTAAATGGCGGCGTTTCCCGACTAGCCACACGTGCAATTATCTCTGAAAGAGTGTCGGGGAAACCTCACTTACTGTTACCACCATACTCAATAAGATTTTAAATTCAACAAGGCAATATATGAGAAAATAAATAACATTTCCACACCAGTTTAATATCTAATTCTTTTTACAAAAACGAGCGCCAAGTCAGTACAAGAAACTCGCGTTATTATTGATTAAATTGGACCGCCAAACTATAAATCAAATAATTCAAACTTAATTAAAATTGAAAAATTAAAGTTCCACCAAACATTTAATATTTTGAATAATGTTGTTTCTTTTTGAGTTTACTAGTTTACTACTCCACTTTTGGAATTAAACAGAACAAGCCCAAAAAACAAAGGAAAACGAAGTTGAAACAAAATGTTTTGGTGACATAAAACTGATATGTAATACATGTTGATGTTCTGACTTCTGAAATATAGCGTTATGGCTTACCCTCAACTTCCAAATAGCGTCTTGCAGCTTCGTAAGGACCACCCCGTACGATTATTTCCTCGAGGATAATGGCAAAGCTATAGACATCACCTTTTTGAGTAGCGGGATTTCCAGGGATTAACGTTAAGGGTAAAAGTTCCGGAGCAACCCAAAGCAACTCTAAAATGGATACAAGTGCCAAATTTATTTTCATTTATCTTGTTTAAAAATGTTGTTCTACTAACTACACGAGTTTCCATTCCAATATGATAACCAACCACAGAAACCCGTGACTAAAGCACTGGAAACTGGCGAAGTGACGCGCGCCGGATCAGTGCATAATTCGATATTAGAGTACGGAGTAGAAAAAATAATTTGTATCAAATCAATTTGAAGGCAACAATTACTAAAATGTTTTCTCTGAACTGCTTTTTATTATGGAGGTCTTTTTGGATTTGACACCTAAAAATGAATCTCAGGCCGTAAATTCGTAGCGTAGTGCGTTTTTATACAGGAAAACAGAGAAAATAACGTTTAAGAAATTGGGAATAAGAAACTAAAAGATTTATTTAAGGCATCAAGGTCAGGTCCACTCAACTGATGCTCCAAGGGAAAAATTTAGTTTTCTCTGCATGAGAAATAGAAGCTTCTGGGAAAAAATTACTTAGGCATTTCAAAAGAATCAGAACTAACAGAAAACATATCAGTCTATGGAAACAGGGTCTCTACACCTAATGTCTAATTCGTTGGAATCTGAAATGGAAACCTGATAATGGAAATTTAGCAGATCCAAATATTGGATGATAAGCAAATACCAGTTCAATACAGAAGTTCGTAAAGGAGATCTGTTACAAATAAATTTTAGAATGATTCTGGATTTATTGGTATGCTGCTGTATTATATTAGAAAATGGTGCTTAAAAATTTCAACTTATCAGTTTTGAGATTTTAAGCCGTTGCTCTGAGAGCCTGGTACTGCATTTTGACATTCACCTACGATGAATCTCTGCAAAGTCATTTTTATATTATCTTATTAAATACTCACATTTCCATTCGGTTACTTATGAAGTAAGTAAGTATATTGACAGGAACCACTTTTTTTTCGTCCATATTGTAAAACACATTCTAACGTCAATATAGTGAGGAGATCTCTCCGCCTCCGTTTATCTTATAATTTTAGTTTGATTTAATTTTTTTAAATCGATTTAATAAATGGAAAAAGACATTTTTCAATATTCCATTTCCACAACCACAAACACTTACTATTGTAATAATTGGCATCTTTTATTAGGTCCACCGGAGTAGTAAGAGATGTGAGTCCAAAATCAGAAATTTTCAAAACGAAGCGCCCGTCGATAAGACAGTTACACGAACGTAACTTTCCGTGAAAGGAAATGTCACAACCGTGTATGTAACTCATTCCCTGAAAATCGAACACCACCTTAGAGTTTTTTTAATGGTCGGACGTATAAAATATTACCTTAACAATATCAAAAATAAGCGACATTTGAAAATTCCAATCGAGGTGGATGTCTTCGTTTTCTAAAACGTCCCTTAAGCTTCCCCGTGAGCAATATTCCGTTAGAATTAGGATTGTTGGACATTCGATGCATGCCCCTATAAACCTCACCGTGTTTTCATGAGTGACGTCTCTTACCTAAACGATTTTTATTAATAGAATAGTAAGTGTTTTAAGGGAAATCTATAAATAGTGTTTTACCTGCTTGATTTCCCAAAGTAGCTTTTTATTTACGTCAATTTTCTTTTTAACGATTTTCTTGATAGCAACCCTGCTTCCCTTGTACATACCGACCGAAGTGTATATTTTTGCAGATCGTATCGATGTATTGGAGGTAATTGACGCTCTTCCGCTCGTCAAATCGAAAGTCTGAAAATGGATTTTCGCAGGATACCACGGATTTCCACTACTTCTGGTTTAAGTGTTATATTTGCTTGCTTTTGAAAAAGTACTTAATTTTTTCAAAGGGTAAAGGAATAATTCTTGGTTTGTTGTATTTCTAAAATCACAGAATTTATTTTCAAAAATAAAAATAATGAACCAAAGGAAGCTAATTGCCATAATTTTGTTCTACTTGTTTTGTTGACTTATTTATATAACTAAAATAAAGTAAAAAAGTAAACAAAAGATAACAAACAAAAGTAAATTAGTTACAATTGAATAAAGTATTTTCGGATCTATTTCCATTTGTTTTATTTTGATTTTCTTTTCTTTTTTCGCAAATAAATATTCTGTAGCCAGGACCAATTGTAGTCTTTATGCAATTGATGCATTCCTATCGTTAACTCTGGCCGCAAACTAGTGTTGAAATGCCCCGCTGCTCTCAAAATAGATGCTCGCGTGATAAAGTGATTAACTCATACCTCAGACAGTTTTTGAAGTGCCAATTTTGATCCAAATGTTCTTCCGGCTTCTAAAATCACTTCTTCTGGTCGAATTCGCCACGACATGTTGTTCAAATCTGCGTCGATTTTCATGTGCCTATGAATATATTTTTTTTTTATTTATTGCAATAAAGGCCAATTACTATAAGCCTATAAATTGCGAATACCACAAAATACTCACTTATAGGCCACGCATACGAGACTTGTGGAGCATGTTATAAACAGTCCAAATGCCAAAGACCCATAAATTATTATCATGTAAGCCTCTAGCCGCGTGAAATTTTAAACAGTTTTGGTTAGTTTCATTTAGTTAGTTATTTTTTTGACAATTCAAAACTTAAGGATATTATTTTAATCAGATTTTCATATCCTTGGTTTTATGCTTGTCAATGTAGCCCATATGATACTTCTGTAGTTAAATAACTAGTTGTATGTTGTTCTATTTCATTTTCTCCTAGTCCCGGCAACCTAGTCATTTTGATGGATACAGTTTTTCTATTAACCAGTAATTCTGAGTTTAACAAATAGTTTGTCCGCTTTACAAATTTTGATTTATAATGAAAAATTCATTCAGCTAAATTAAAGCTGTAATGTAATGTACGTAATTCAGAAATTTGCGCATCAGATACAGCTTCTTTTGCTAATACAAACCTTATTCAATTTCAAGCCAACAACAAAAGGTAATACGAAAGTATTTCACATTAAATACTTCTATATGGCTAAGGCTGATCAACAAGCTGTGTGGTTTGCCAAGGGCATAATTACCAGGAATTATTAAAACATTTTTGTTTCTGTTGTTACCATGATTGCGACATTCGGAACTGTCATCCAAAAATCCGCATTTTGGTATATCCGGTGGTGGTCCTTCTCGTCCTCCAGGCCAGTGGATTCTCTTTCCAAGTACCGGGGTGTAATGTTTGTCCACCCCGTTGCAATGACCGACCACTTCGAATTTTCCGGTGATAGGATCCAAGTCCAATATAGAGTAATCTGCGTCGCGATCGCCATTATCGTCGATGCGGACGTACCCCGTGATACCTATCAGAACAAGAAAAATATCACGGTAAACTTTTTTACAACGCATTCAAAAGTACGCAAAGTTAGGTTTTAAATACTTTTTTCTATTTTAAGTTCAATTAAAATATACAGTTGTTTTCATAATTCTGCCATATACGCTACGGTATCCAAAAATGAAATAGATATTTAATCAAGTTAGTTTGTAATTACATGTTCTTCATATACTTCATATACTTATACTTTCTAATACTTTCAAAATCTTCTAAACACCTTTTCTTTCAAGATTTTTTCCAGTTCAGTTCAGTTTTCAAGTTCAACAATCTTATGCCAATATATGTCCTGATAGCGAAATTAATAGCTTACTACAATCTAAACATATTTGCGATCGGTCGGATAATGTTTTACTATACGTTTCTAGTATATGTATTGTTATAATTACCCAAAAATTCTCTATTCCACATGCGATTCGTAATTCCCAGTCCATCACGAATATCACCACCTTGCCACAGAGTCTCATTCAGCGCCATACCCAAAAGATAGACTCCATCGTAGAAAGCACCAATTACAAAATTTACCTAGAAATAAGAATTGTGGTCAAAAAATATCAACTATCAAATGTTATTCTACTAGAATAATAATTGCGTTAAATGCATCAAATAATGTAACCATATTTTTTCCCTTGGTTTTTATTAATAAAAATTTAGTAAATTATATTTGTTTTGGAGATGGGTAGTGCTTTACGTATTGCCGAAATGATTGTGTGTTTACCAAATTTACCTCTTCGCCTTCGCTTATGGTGTAGTTGTAATCCCTTAAAGACCTCTCCTTTACTTTGTCTGCAAAATCTTGAAACTTGTCACTGGTAGGTTGCAATAATGACACCCTTAACAGTGCTTCATAAGCTTTTCGTGCCAAAGAATCTTCGGAGTCACCAGCTCTCCAGTCGTGATCTCCCCAATAAGGTCCCTATTTTCCAAAAAAAAAAAAATAATGCAAAAATATTGTTGTACATATTGACCAAATTTTAACTGGGATACAATGCAAGAGATTCAACTCTGAGTTCTATATGCTTAGTCCAGGGTGTGTTTCATTTCAGTACTTTTTGTCAGTACTTCATTTCGTAACAGAAAGATGGAATCGGCCAAATGTTTTCTTATTAGACTCGCTTGCCTATTCCGAATATTTTTTTCTATTGAAATATTTGAAATTAATTGCAAATAAGTCCATTTTTTTAATAAATAAAAGCGTTACCTCACTTTTAATTACCTGAAAAATTTCGACATCCAAAAACGTCCAGTCCCCTTTGGTCATTCCTAAAGCGTGAGCAGACAACATAAATTTTCTAACTAAACTTCCTCTCACACTTAAAATGACAACTAGAAAGCAGACTGTTACAAGAGTGGTATACATAATGGGGAATAGTTACCTCTCGCATACATGCTAGCGTCTCTAAGGTAGTTGTCTATCGAATCATTGTCATTTCCGTCTAGTTCCTTTACGAAAGAGAGCAATCCTTCTTTTTTCAATCCGTGTTCAAGATTTTTTCCTAAAAGCAAAGGATCAGACCAGAACTTGCTTTACAAGGAAAATCTTTACACTGATTCTGAGAGTTTTCTAGATCAACATTATATGTGAAGGTTTAAAGGGGCGGGATGTGTGTACAATTTACCAGGTTGCCAAATTTTAAAAAAATTATTTCCATAATAAATTTAGAACTTACTCTTTTTGTTTGTTAATCTCATCTCATATCTCAGTTTCGACCACCATTATTTTTTACTCTACCAATAATTCTAATTATTTTTGAGAAAATAAAATTAATTAATATAAGATAAATTAAATAATGTATTTATCCCTATTGACTCGTTCATTTACCCTAAGTAAAGTTCACATTGTTTGTGGAAAATACAACAAAGCAGTTTTGGAGAAATTAAGCAAACTGAGAGGATCCTTTGCAGTTTCTTATTTATAGTTTTACGTAGGTCCTTGCGAAACGCTTTGTATAATCCGATTCCGGTTGTTTATGCTTGTGATATGATTTAGGATCAATGGCATGGTAAATGCTGAATCACTTACCTACGGTAAGGGAAAATAGGTCAGACCTGTCCAAAATAAGAGCTACGTGATTCCAACCGAATTGCTTGAATATGCTAGAAAAAACTTTTTTCAAGCGGCATTGGCAGTAAGACATTCTCGTCAAAGTTGGATATTTGCTTTTATCTTTCAAGATGCCCTAGAATTTAAATTTCATATTAAAAACTTCAATAACCCTAAATAACAAAGGAGATTATTGTTGTTCTAGCTAGTTTGCATTTTAGAAGAAGTTATTACAAACATCATACTTGCAGAGAGCCTAACAGAAATCTTCTATCGATGTATACCATATAAGTATAAGTACAAAACATACGTATTCATAGGGGAATAGCTTTTTTCTACCCTTCTGTAAAGTACCTAATTATACACCGATCTAGCGTCTGGAAAAAGTCATTACTACGTAAGTTTCGTGTTCGGACTTTTCCAGGATTTTACCGCACCAGTTTGGGAGCAATCGGATGTTTTCGGAGATTTTATCGTACGGCTTGAATTTTGACGTTTGTCAATTCTGACAGTCATGTCAGTGAATGTATTCATGTTGTTTTGCAAATATGTACCCAAAAGCTACCGGTCCTAGACATAGCATGCAACATATATGGTAAGAGTATATTATGTAACAAGTGTGGTATTTGCATTTGACTTACGAATTTATTTGACACAACAGGAGCTCAGCGGAGCGAGTGTTTAATAGATGAGTGATTTAAAAAGTTTACTGAAGGAAAAACAACACTAATTCATTCACTGACATGACCGTCAGAACTGACAAACGTCAAAATTCAAGGCGTGGGATATATCTCCGAAAACATCCAATTGCGCCCAAAACGCTGCAGTAAAATCCCGGAAATGTCCGAAGTAGCTCGGATCCGTGGGAAATAAACTCGTGACTCAAACCAGACTTGTTGCATAATACGCTATTACCAATAATTTTTTGGATGACGATCTTAGAAGTTAGCGACAAAAGTTGTTTAGATTTATTTTAATTTTTAATTATTTTAAAATATTGTATTACTAAATTAAATTAAAAATTTATTATTTCTACGTTAAAAAAAGTATGAAAAAATCAGATTTTTTATAAATATATATATATATATATATATATATATATATATATATATATATATATATATATATATATATATATATATATATATATATATATATTCTCACGTATTGATTCACGGATGGAAAAATGTGATGACACTATATTCCGGGATATCATCCGTTCGCTCGTTGAACTCCGACTGGAATCCTGCATCCGACTGGAATCCTGCAAATCTTGCATCCGACTGGAATCCTGCAGACGTTTCGCCAAAATCTCACTTGGCATCTTCAATGCTCGCGCTCCGAAAACACTTCGAACACTGGGAGGTTATCGGCGGTGCGTGCGGTATTTATACTCTGCGCCGGAGATGGTAACGGTGCTGCTTGTGCGTGGGGGGAGGTGGCTCCGCCCCCTGAATTGTCGCGTTGTTAATTTCGCCCGATCGTAGTTGCGATGTCCCCGTTGGCTGCTGCGCATCGCTCTGCTGTTTGATTATCGTTCTCCACGTGTTGGATAAATGCAGAGCGTCGTCTCTCGTATTGAGGTGTCCGGACTTTTCTATTTCGATGGCCTCTCGTATAATCCTAGTCCTAAAATCAGGAATATTAGCTATTTGTTTTCAAGTGCCGAAATCAATTTTATGGCCTGTCTGATGTTGGTGCTGAAACAAAGCAGATGTTGTTTGTTTGTTTCTTATGGCTAAACGATGTTCCTCGAGCCTGGCTGAAATCCTTCTGTTGGTCTGTCCCACATACGTCAGGCTGCACGATCCGCATGCTACACTGTATACTCCTTGGTTTTCCAGAGTAATTTTTTGTTTTGGGTTTCTTAGTATTGCTCCGATGGTATGGTCAGGTTTGTATGCCGTTGATATGTCGTGTTTCCGTAATATTCGGCCGATTTTGTCAGTAACCCCCTTGATGTATGGCAGGACAGCGATCGATCTTCGTTGGGTCTCGTCCTGCACTCTCTGCTGCGGCTGTTGTTGTTTACTGATTGCCTTGCTGATGGTGCGCCTTTGGTATCCGTTTTGTTGAAGACAGGTACTAATTTTCTTCAGTTCTTTATCTCTGTTCCTCTCGTTTGTGAGCCTGAAGGACCGAGCAATTAATGTATTTGCCACTGCCTGTATCTGTGATGGGTGGTGATGATATTTAGCGTTCAGATATCTATTAGTGTGTGTTGGTTTTCTATAGACAGTGTGTTCCAAGTGTCCATCTTCGGTCCTTGTGATGTGCACATCTAAAAAGGGCAGACTGTTATCCTCTTCAAGTTCTATTGTAAATTGAATCCTTGGGTGAATGGAATTCAGATGATCTAGGAATTTCAAAAGCTCCTCCTTGCCAAAAGGCCATACAACAAATCCGTGAATCAATACGTGAGAATATCATACACCTTTACGGGAAGGAGATCTTTACAGCCACCAAGTGTTATGAAAAACTAAGACATGACGTATTTGTTGTATGGCCTTTTGGCAAGGAGGAGCTTTTGAAATTCCTAGATCATCTGAATTCCATTCACCCAAGGATTCAATTTACAATAGAACTTGAAGAGGATAACAGTCTGCCCTTTTTAGATGTGCACATCACAAGGACCGAAGATGGACACTTGGAACACACTGTCTATAGAAAACCAACACACACTAATAGATATCTGAACGCTAAATCTCATCACCACCCATCACAGATACAGGCAGTGGCAAATACATTAATTGCTCGGTCCTTCAGGCTCACAAACGAGAGGAACAGAGATAAAGAACTGAAGAAAATTAGTACCTGTCTTCAACAAAACGGATACCAAAGGCGCACCATCAGCAAGGCAATCAGTAAACAACAACAGCCGCAGCAGAGAGTGCAGGACGAGACCCAACGAAGATCGATCGCTGTCCTGCCATACATCAAGGGGGTTACTGACAAAATCGGCCGAATATTACGGAAACACGACATATCAACGGCATACAAACCTGACCATACCATCGGAGCAATACTAAGAAACCCAAAACAAAAAATTACTCTGGAAAACCAAGGAGTATACAGTGTAGCATGCGGATCGTGCAGCCTGACGTATGTGGGACAGACCAACAGAAGGATTTCAGCCAGGCTCGAGGAACATCGTTTAGCCATAAGAAACAAACAAACAACATCTGCTTTGTTTCAGCACCAACATCAGACAGGCCATAAAATTGATTTCGGCACTTGCAAACAAATAGCTAATATTCCTGATTTTAGGACTAGGATTATACGAGAGGCCATCGAAATAGAAAAGTCCGGACACCTCAATACGAGAGACGACGCTCTGCATTTATCCAACACGTGGAGAACGATAATCAAACAGCAGAGCGATGCGCAGCAGCCAACGGGGACATCGCAACTACGATCGGGCGAAATTAACAACGCGACAATTCAGGGGGCGGAGCCACCTCCCCCCACGCACAAGCAGCACCGTTACCATCTCCGGCGCAGAGTATAAATACCGCACGCACCGCCGATAACCTCCCAGTGTTCGAAGTGTTTTCGGAGCGCGAGCATTGAAGATGCCAAGTGAGATTTTGGCGAAACGTCTGCAGGATTCCAGTCGGATGCAAGATTTGCAGGATTCCAGTCGGATGCAGGATTCCAGTCGGAGTTCAACGAGCGAACGGATGATATCCCGGAATATAGTGTCATCACATTTTTCCATCCGTGAATCAATACGTGAGAATATCATACACCTTTACGGGAAGGAGATCTTTACAGCCACCAAGTGTTATGAAAAACTAAGACAAAGGAGGGTTATTTCGCTGTGCAACTTGAATTTTCTTAAAAGCTGCCGCAACCAGAACTTGCTGCCAACATTTACAAGGTTGTCTTATCACACACGCACCAGAAAGACACAAGCTATCCTGGACAAAGCTAGCAAGGCCCTACTCCAAGACCAGATCAGGCGGACCCGGTACGAAATTAGTGAGACTGAGCTACAACTTTTCAGACTCCACCTGAAACTGAGCAACAAGATCCATCAGTTGCTGTGGGACCGCATAGAATTATTAACATCATGGCGCACTGAGAAAGACAAGGACATCACGTCAAAAAAACTGTGGAAGAAATTAGAAATCCTTCAGTCAAATTCCAAAAAATCAGGACAAGTGCCAAATACAAACCGAAGCAGTACAGTTCATAATATTTCAGCATACCATCTTTCCGATACAGAAGTCAGCGTACTGAATAAAGGATTTAACTACGCAATAGCTCCAAAAAGAGTACCCGTCGAAGAGATCGTTTCCAACGTCGAAGCAAGTCTTTCCACCATAGACGAACAAGATGCGGAGTTAATTAGGCAAGATGTCGCCAGAGTCTTAAGACAGTCAAAACCACCGCAACCAAACTTAAGCAGAGAAGAAATGCAAGCCTTAAGGAATCTAAACAAAAACGAAAACATTCTAATAATGCCAGCAGACAAAGGAAATGCCACTGTCGTCATGAATACGTCGGATTATAATGCAAAATTGGAGGATATTTTGAACGACCCAATATACAAACTAGTCACCAGAGATCCCACGACATATTTGGAAAAAACAACTAAGTCCAAAATTCTCGATTCATCAATAAACGAGGATACAAAGAAGAAACTTATTCCGAGGGAAAAATCGAGTCGTTGCCCAAAATTCTACGGGCTCCCAAAGATCCATAAGGACGGGGTTCCCCTGCGTCCAATCGTAAGCGCCTTTAACTCACCATTATGCAAGCTGGAAAAACATCTGGCCAGTGCACTTCAGCCTATAGTGGAAAAGGCAGATTCCTATGTTAAAAACTCAGAACATTTCACTCAGATTTTAGGTTCTCTCAGGATGGACAAGGACGACATTATGGCAAGTTTCGATGTCAAATCCCTCTACCCGAGTATTCCAGTAGAAGAGGCACTCTTGCTTATAGAAGAAAACGAAGATCTTCCGCCATACATAATGGATCTGTCAAGACATTGCCTGAAAAACGCTTACTTTATGCACAACAGGAAAATTTACCGACAAATAGATGGAGCAGCAATGGGATCATCTCTCTCACCTGTGATTGCCAACCTCTTCATGATTTACTTCGAAAAGAAAGCAATAGAGAAGGCAAATCTGAAGCCAAAACTATGGACAAGATACGTTGATGACGTATTTGTTGTATGGCCTTTTGGCAAGGAGGAGCTTTTGAAATTCCTAGATCATCTGAATTCCATTCACCCAAGGATTCAATTTACAATAGAACTTGAAGAGGATAACAGTCTGCCCTTTTTAGATGTGCACATCACAAGGACCGAAGATGGACACTTGGAACACACTGTCTATAGAAAACCAACACACACTAATAGATATCTGAACGCTAAATCTCATCACCACCCATCACAGATACAGGCAGTGGCAAATACATTAATTGCTCGGTCCTTCAGGCTCACAAACGAGAGGAACAGAGATAAAGAACTGAAGAAAATTAGTACCTGTCTTCAACAAAACGGATACCAAAGGCGCACCATCAGCAAGGCAATCAGTAAACAACAACAGCCGCAGCAGAGAGTGCAGGACGAGACCCAACGAAGATCGATCGCTGTCCTGCCATACATCAAGGGGGTTACTGACAAAATCGGCCGAATATTACGGAAACACGACATATCAACGGCATACAAACCTGACCATACCATCGGAGCAATACTAAGAAACCCAAAACAAAAAATTACTCTGGAAAACCAAGGAGTATACAGTGTAGCATGCGGATCGTGCAGCCTGACGTATGTGGGACAGACCAACAGAAGGATTTCAGCCAGGCTCGAGGAACATCGTTTAGCCATAAGAAACAAACAAACAACATCTGCTTTGTTTCAGCACCAACATCAGACAGGCCATAAAATTGATTTCGGCACTTGCAAACAAATAGCTAATATTCCTGATTTTAGGACTAGGATTATACGAGAGGCCATCGAAATAGAAAAGTCCGGACACCTCAATACGAGAGACGACGCTCTGCATTTATCCAACACGTGGAGAACGATAATCAAACAGCAGAGCGATGCGCAGCAGCCAACGGGGACATCGCAACTACGATCGGGCGAAATTAACAACGCGACAATTCAGGGGGCGGAGCCACCTCCCCCCACGCACAAGCAGCACCGTTACCATCTCCGGCGCAGAGTATAAATACCGCACGCACCGCCGATAACCTCCCAGTGTTCGAAGTGTTTTCGGAGCGCGAGCATTGAAGATGCCAAGTGAGATTTTGGCGAAACGTCTGCAGGATTCCAGTCGGATGCAGGATTCCAGTCGGAGTTCAACGAGCGAACGGATGATATCCCGGAATATAGTGTCATCATATATATATATATATATATATATATATATATATATATATATATATATATATATATATATATATATATATATATATATATATGATGACACTATATTCCGGGATATCATCCGTTCGCTCGTTGAACTCCGACTGGAATCCTGCAAATCCTGCATTTATCCTGGATTTATCCAACACGTGGAGAACGATAATCAAACAGCAGAGCGATGCGCAGCAGTCAACGGGGATATCGCAACTACGATCGGGCGAAATTAACAACGCGACAATTCAGGGGGCGGAGCCACCTCCCCCTACGCACAAGCAGCACCGTTACCATCTCCGGCGCAGAGTATAAGTACCGCACGCACCGCCGATAACCTCCCAGTGTTCGAAGTGTTTTCGGAGCGCGAGCATTGAAGATGCCAAGTGAGATTTTGACGAAACGTCTGCAGGATTCCATTTTTTATATATATATATATATATATATATATATATATATATATATATATATATATATATATATATATATATATATATATATATATATATATATATATATATATATATATATATATATATATAAAATCTGATTTTTACATACTTTTTTTAACGTAGAAATAATAAATTTTTAATTTAATTTAGTAATACAATATTTTAAAATAATTAAAAATTAAAATAAATCTAAACAACTTTTGTCGCTAACTTCTAAGATCGTCATCCAAAAAAATTATTGGTAATAGCGTATTATGCAACAAGTCTGGTTTGAGTCACGAGTTTATTTCCCACGGATCCGAGCTACTTCGGACATTTGCGGGATTTTACTGCAGCGTTTTGGGCGCAATTGGATGTTTTCGGAGATATATCCCACGCCTTGAATTTTGACGTTTGTCAGTTCTGACGGTCATGTCAGTGAATAAATTCGTGTTGTTTTTCCTTCGGTAAACTTTTTAAATCACTCGTCTATTAAACACTCGCTCCGCTGAGCTCCTGTCGTGTCAAATAAATTCGTAAGTCAAATGCCGTTTACTACACTTGTTACATAATATACTATTACCAAATTTGTTGCATGCTATGTCTAGGACCGGTAGCTTTTGGGTACATATTTGCAAAACAACATGAATACATTCACTTAATTTGAAGTTTTTTTATATTGTTTCCAGATTATTTTTTATTATGTCAGTATAACCTTCTAAATTTATATATTATTTTATAATATACATTTATATAAGTATTTATTATTATATATTATGTATATCGATTCAAGAATTAGTTCATTACATTAAAATATAGTTGGATCAAGTGAAAGTAACGAAAAAAAAAGTTTTATTAACGTAAATTAGGGTGGGAATATAGAATACAGGAAATTTTTTTTATTGGTTATATTTAATAAGTTCAATTGAAAATTCATATTAAAAAGGACTTTAATCATATAATTGCTTGTTTGCTTTTGCTATTTGTTTCTATATTTCAAATTGTAACAAAACATATAACATAACATGTATACTATTTACAGAATTTCTGGATTCCTCCTGCGTTGGTTGTTGTTGAGTTGAACTTGATAACGTTTCGCCAATCATTCTGTTGGCTTCTTAAAAGCTTAACTGAAAACTCAACTGAAAACAGTTTTCAGTTAACCCCTGAAGAAGTCAATAAAATGATTGACGAAACGTTAGCAAGTTCAACTCGACAACAACTGACGCAGGAGAAATACGGAAGTTGTAAGGTGTAAATAGTATTACAGTAGCCTTGAAAATGTTAATTACGTTGAAATGTCAATATTGCCGACAACAAACAAGAATTTATCTCTTAGTTTTCACTGTTTACGTAAACGGATTCCTGGTCCAGTTAAATTACAGAAACCAATTTGGATAGATTTGCAGTAATTAAGAATGAAATGTAGCATCTAAGAGAACCTCTTAGCTTTGATTAGATTATTTCGTGACAGGTGATTACGCTTTAATTGCGTCTGCACTATAGCTTAAGCTTTTAAGTTAAATCTTCCAGGGAACAAAGTTAAATAATTAATTAAATCCGTAAGCTGGCATGATGGAAAATGGTTAGACCAAGTAACTGTTTTTTGATAAACATTAGCTATAACCATTCTTATCGGAAGGAATGCGTGATGCATATATATTATTTTCTCATTTGCAGTTTTATGAAGCCCGATAGAGCAAAACCTGATGTACTCTACTGTAAAGAAACTAAAAGCGATAGAAAAATTCTGAAAATCCTGTAACGGTGAAATTTGCATATGTTTACTGATTTGGACACTGAAGACGGTAGATCGATTTTTAAGGGACACATACATTATGGAATATTTACAGAGAACTAATTGTACTTGATAAATTTTCTAAAAAAAAAAAAGAGCAATCCCTACCACAAAACGTACCAAACTCATTAGCGTAACAATTCTCTGGATTGTTCGTCGCATTTGACTATTTTAATTGCTTCAATTTCAAATGTGCAAAAATAAGCAAATTAAACCTATAAAAACTTAATAACGTTGGTTACTAAAAGACAGCTTAATTCGGTATCGGATAGGTAGACTATTGCTAAACTGCTTATTAAATATGATATTAAAGTGCCCATTAGTTATACAGGGAATCAAAACAATGCAAAAACTTTAAGTGAATGATTCCATGTCGAAAGTAGTTTATTCAATAAACTTTGGGTCAAAAGTCAAACGAAATGAGATAGAACAATAAAATAATTTTTTTTAATTTTTGAAAATTTCTTCAAATTTTTAGAATTAGTAGATGGCATTAAATTAGATTAGCCCTATCATTCATTCTAACTAAATTTAAAAAACCATTTCTATTTTTCGAAAAATTTCTTTTTGTTTTGTTGTTTCTACTCTAAGATTTTTATAAGCAATTTGTAACATTTGCAAAATAAAATTATGAGATTTCTGAGACATTGATTCCGACACATTTGAGAACATATTGAGCACAAAATTGGCCCTTTTGGCTTGTTTCGTAATTCTGTTAATTAAGATGGGGGGGATAATAGGCGTTGCCATAACAACATTTCGACTGATAATGATCTGCACAATATTATTAACCAACATACATACATACATTGTAAATTAAATATGCCAAAAAAGAAGGCAAGTTACTTTTGGGTTATTGTTTAGCAGCTGAAAATTATCTACCCGTTTAATGATACCAAATAAGACGATAAACTGAGATGTAGTAGGAGTTTATCAAGAGAGCCATTGTAACTTGTAGATGTCGTTAGTGCCCAGCGAAATGCTTCGAAAACAAATTTCACCTGGTTAGTTAGGAACAAATATTTGCTTACGGGACTATCGCTTTTGTTGGTTGGATTGTATCTCCCTAGAATTCTCGATGAAGTAACGGAAAGTTCTCCTTCCATGGGTGGCTAAAAAATAGATTTGTGTTAACATACTACTTTTAATTACGGAATCCTATTAAATTAGACCAGCGGATCGCCAGCGTTCTGGAACATGTCATTTATTTTCCGTTATTTTTTTATCATTTTATGTTCGACAATGCTTTTAAAAACAAATCACAAATATTACAACTTCTTCCGGTTGGTTTTCGTATAAGCGGAAACTTAAAATTAACGCTAAAATAATGTTACACACGAAGATGTTCCAAAGTTTGAGTTCTTTTGAGTCCTATTTGAAGTATTTATGAAAATTTCAAAGGTGTGAAATCTGTGTAAGCATCATCGCAATCACATGATTTTTTTAATTTTGACGTTAGAGTGTTACATACCTGGTCACCCATTCCAGTTATAATAGGGGTATTCCAATAAGCCGCTAATCTAGCAACCGGTTCTAAAGCAAAAAGGCACGCCGGTCCAACAAACGCAACAACATCTGATATAAAGTGCATGTCTGCTGCTATACCAGGAGCTAGGGCACCACTGCAAGATGGATAACTAAAAGCAAAAGAAATTTGACTTTTTTGGACCTTAAGTTTGGAAGCAAAAACACTTTTATTGGCACAGACTGGAACGGAAGCAGTGTTATATATATATATATATATATATATATATATATATATATATATATATATATATATATATATATATATATATATATATATAATGTTGAAAATATATTCCGTATATTTTCACGATGGAAAAATGTAATGACAATATATTCCGGGATATCATCCGTTCGTTGAACTCCGCCTGGAGTCCTGCAGACGTTTCGCTAAGATCTGACACCCCAGTGTTTGAAGTGTTTTCGGAGCGCGAGCATTGAAGATGCCAAGTGAGATCTTGGCGAAACGTCTGCAGGATTTCAGAACGATTGTATCAACCGGATCCTCCTTTTCTGTAATAAAAACAGAAATAATAGAGAAGAATATCGTACAAAACCGAACCTTTTTATATTATAAACAAAAATAAAGTCCTCGCGCCGGTGTCGCCGCTTAGCTTAAGTTTTATCGGACTAAATAATTAAACCGGCTTAAATTAAAAATTATTCGAACCAAGACCGCACCTACCAACTATAATAGAGCTAAAAAAAAAGACCCTGACTTACCAAATAAATAAAAATTGAATAGCGTTGATTTTGTGGGTGGTGAGTGTTTGCAGATCTTTTATATTAGAGATTTATTTACGAATCAATTGGTAATATAAGCACGGGAACAGAGCGGTTTGGAGAAACTAATTTACACGTTCATTTCGCTTTGCTATATATTTACATTATAATATACGTGTACGTTTCCGGATCTCTAAAGGCAAATGAATCCTAAATCAAGCTGCTTTGACCAGTCATATAATGCCAATTATATGTTTTATACATGCTTCGCACGTGTGCTGTGATTACGTAATATAGACGTTCGACTTACTCCCAATTTAATAATGGGATTTTCTATTTGTTTTTTTGCAATAAAAAACTTTGCTCTTGGGTATTTATAACTTTATGGAGTGTATCTTGAGGATGTAAATATTAATACTTTTAAATTAATAACATTCAAATATTACAGTTAAATTGAACTTATAACTTTTTTAAAGTCCCACGGCTAGTTTATTCTTGAGGTCGCTCTCTGATATCTTTATTTGTTGGATAAAAGACAGAAATATTAGCAAAAATATTTAAAAAAAAAAACAACGATGATAAGAGATCCTAGAGAAAAGTCATGATCAGTCTATTATTTCGTGTCTAATAAATTGTATTGTAGTATAAAGCTTTCAAATAACTAAAATCGCAGCAAACGTTTGAATATTGTTAAACTCGTATAAATCGTACCTTCTTTGAACCTTCGTTAATCTTATCCTGTGCTGGGCCAGGAACTTCTCGTTCACTTCCTCCAATGCCATATCAACGGCTGGTCCACATCTTTCCAAATCGAAAGGGTAATTTAAATTTGAGGCCATTAGGATACCAACGTTGTAAAACCTAAACTCGTCACCAACGACGTTTTTCTGGGCTACTAGTAGATTTATCCCCGGTTGCCAAACAAAGGCCACAAGTACAAAATGCAAAAACATTATCTGAAAATATCATAAAAAAAATGCGAAAAACTTAAGTTTGATTCCTCGTTTAAAATAAGAGGTAATAAAAGCTAATTATTAGCGAGATACAAATATGGCGGAAAAATAATGCTTTTATTTTTATCTTAGAAACGTAAATAGAACCATAAAATATTATGGAAGTATTACTATTATAAAAATACGCTTTCTGCATATCCTTTCATTTTTTTTAAATCATTTTATCATGCATTTTAACTAAATTTAAGGAAAAACTTATGTAGTGACAAAAATTTATTTTGGTTATTTCATATTTTATTTTAAAACCTATTTTTTATTTGGAAATTGTAAGTTTTATGAAAAAGAGGGACAAAAAGTTTCGAGAAATGTATCTATCGAAATTTATTTTTTATGTCTTGTCAAGTTTTTCAATGTCAATCCTCTCCATTCGTAACAAAAATGCAGAAAGTGTGCTTTTATAATAGTAATACTTGCGTAGTATTTCATTGTTCTACTTTAATTTTTATGATAAAAAATAAAAACATTATTTTTTCGTAAGTTTTTCGAAAATGTCAACCATGTAACTGAGTCTTCCCAATCTTGATTAATGAATGAATGTGCCAATATATGTTTCTTTTCCACCAAAAAATTGTAAACTTCGTTTCTCAAATCAAAAATACGTTGCAATATTTTGCCGCGAGATAGCCATCTGACTTCAGTATGTAGTAATAACGTATCATACTCCGAACCTATCTCATGCAGAGTATTGAAAAGAGACGACTGTTTAGGCTGTTGCCTTTAATGTAATTAATTACTTTGTACAATTCTCCAATTTTTATTATTAACACTAAGTCCTTTCTTACTAGCTGTAAATGCTACAGCACCATTTATACAAACGGCGACGCAGTGGGCCCAGGCAAGATCATTTTCCTCAAAATATCTGTTAATAACTTCAAATATTTTCTCTCCAGTTGTTCTTCCTTCTAACCTTTTACAACAAAAAAAATCTTGTAATATGTCTTCTTCAAAAACGTAGCTCAAATAAACAATTAATTGAGACATTTTAGTAATGTCTGTAGTTTCGTCAAGTTGTAGAGCAAACACAGGAGAGTTTTGTATTCGATTTAACAGATCTGATTGTATATTACGTGATATGGCTGAAATTCGCCGAGAAACGGTATCTCTTGTTTTTAAATCGTTACCATATTTTTCTCCAAGCATAATTGATGTCACTTTAATTGCTGAAGGAACAATGAGGGTTTCTCTAATGGTAAGTGGTTTTAATTTTTTTTCTATTAAATATGAAACTTCCAAGGATGCCCGTAGAACCTTTTCAGAAATTGTTGTATATGTTTTCAAAAATACAGTTTGATTTTTCATACTTTCAGCTCGTCTTTTAAAAAAATTTTCAGATTTATTTGCAAATTCTTTATGTTTCGTTTCCAAATATCTTTTTAATTTAGCAGGTTTCAAGCTTTCATTTGCTAATTTATCCGAGCAATTAAAACACAACGGACGTCCTTTACCATTAACAACGCGAAATGTAAATCCGTATTTAATAAACTTGATATTTTCTTAATTTTTTATTAGATAACATAATTTGTCCAATATTTTTTGAAGTAGCAACAGTGCCACTGGATTCATTTTTATTTGGGTTTTCACCCACACTCTTTCTAAGTTTAGTAGCTGGTGGTCCATCATTATCATTGTCATTCTTGTCATTTTCTGGTCGTTTGGTACCTATATTTAGCCAATTATCCATTATGATGGAATTAAAACTAAAATAAAATTATAAAAAAAGAACAATATTTCTTTGCTTTAAATTTAAAATAGTAACTACATTGGTAGTATTTCCAACAAAATATTAGTTGAGGATAATCGTTTTCCTTTATTATAATCTTAATATCGCGCCTGCGACATGCGCGAAGATAATACGAGTCATTAAAATTACTTAGAGTGATTGACATCAATGACATCACACCGGGTTTATGAGCGCGCTATATTTTTTATTGTCATATAATGTTCTTTAAATTTGGCGACCCTGAAAATTTTTCTCGCGACCCATGGGTTGCGCACCACTGATCTAGTAGATATTAAGTAGTAATAGATAATAAGAGCTAAAATGAGGAAAAAATAAAATTTCTCATGTCACGAATACTGCGCCTACCATTTTTCGTTCAGAAAACGGCATTGTTATTTGACGCTCGCTGTATCTCGAACATTTCTAAAATATTCACTAGGCTCTACATAATTCCTTATTTATTGCACTTGGTAAAATGGAGATGGTTAAAAAGAAAATTTCGCAATGTGTGAGAATGCAACGAGATAATTTCTATTCGTATTCGAAATACGTCGTTTTATTGCTTTATTAAATTGCTCTATAGTCCAAAAAGAGACATCGTTACAGTGCTCTTTAACACCTCGTTTAATTCAATCGAATTAAGGACGTCATTTTAAAGTTTTACAGCTGAGAAGCAGCTCATCAAAATTCCTCTTAACTGTTATGGCCTAAGCAGTGTTTTGCGATCAATACTGTCTCGTCTGTTTGAAGATAGGAATTTTCTTAATATATTGACATGTACGTGAACAAATAATGGTGTAGACGATTAATGTTTATCCTAGCTAAATTATTTATTCTTAGAAGTTTTATATCTTTCACTTTTTTCTAGTCCAGAGTAAAACATTCGAAACGGATAAAAAAAAAGTGGTCTGGTTTTTGGGAATTGTTCAAAATACCGCGTTTTAAGTAAGTTAATTTTCAAGATGTTAATTTTGTTCAAAAATATAACAGTGTGAGGGTGTTAATTTTCCTTTTTGAACTTTCACTAATCTAAACAAGAAACAGAAATAATTTAGAAAATATAATTTGGTCCTAATGGTGTAAAAAAAACTTACATCATACGCAGAAAAAAAGATAAACGTTGTTGTTAATAAAAAGATGATCTATTAAAAAAATCATAAATAGCAACAAAACGAATTTTTAGTTTTGCACAAAAAAGTTTGCTTCTGTTATAAAATGCAAAATATATATAAAGGACAAAATGTTGTTTAATATTCAAGATTTTAGAGTTAAAATTTTGCTAAATAATTCCTATTTTCAATTTTCTTTTTCGATACAGGATCTTTACTTAAGACCCTACTAATGCATAACTGCATAGTTTGTCATCGTGGTCTAATAGAATCAACATTGCAGCTTGACTTGTAGAACGACATTTAGTGTCGGCATTTTATTAAAAAAAAATAATTACATGCTTTAAGCAAACTAACTAAATCAAACGAATAGAAAAAATCTATTTTCAGGAAACTTTCCTAGTTCCCTAGAAGTTTTTCCTAGAAATTTTTGCTAAAATTACTCGGATCGATCCGATGAGTACATCTTAAGCAGATAGAAAATAAGTTGATGTTTTTTCTAAGAAAATAACAACATAATAAAAAAAATATTTGCAGAGTTATTTACGGAAAAGAATAGAGTCATAGTCTCGATACGCGTGCCGAGCTTGAGCTCGGTGTATCGAAGCGCAAAATCCGCATTACAACAGTCTAAGATCTTTACGAGAAGCTATAAACCTGACCATTTGGAAAGACAGATGAATCGAAGAACCTAATAGACCTTGAAAATATTTTTGTTCGATATCGGTTTTCTTTGCTCTATCGAATCCTTTTTCCTGATATTATCCTTAGGTTTGGTTAATTTGTTACAATACGCGGTGTAAAAATAACTGTACAAACGGTGTAAATCTTGGTTGGTTCCTTCTGCGATGCAATATCTGATTGTCATTAGAATATAATTAGATCTTGTAGATTTTGAATTAAAGTTGTGTTAGTGATTTCAAGCAAGATTATTTTGCTTCAAGTGAGTCCACAGAAAATATTCGTTTGTATAATATTATTAATTGAGAGACAAGGCTTGCTTCATATTTTCCTATTCTAGGATAATTATGCCATATATATATTTTGTTCACTTATTTTTTATAACTGAAGTGAATAGAGTTAAATTGAATGGGATCCAATGCAATGAAAACTGTGTTTGTGCATGAGTGTCTTTTCAATGTAAAATTTAATGAATTATATGTTGAAAAATAAAAGCGAGAAGAAAAGCAGTTATAATTATTTAAATCTTAGTACACCACTTTTTATACCTACATGTGGTGTCTTCTAGTTTTAAACAAAACTATAAATATAACTATATAATCATTAGATTATTCTTAGTTTCATGGTATATCGTAGAATACTAACTACATATTAAAGAAAAATATAATCAAAAAATCAAATAAATACCTTGCTTAGACTCCACTAAAAGAAAATAAATTATCTACTATAAAATCACGAAAATGTCGCTCATAAAAACCTGACGATCTTCAAAATTTCGCCATTTTCGCAAATATAAAAATGAAACAAGAGAACAGTCATTATTGTTGCCCAACTGAATTACTTACAAAATTGCCATCTGGTTTTGATTGATATATTCGTTTTGTACAATATTTGCTACTCAACATACCTTGAACTCAACTCGTTGAACCTCTGTCGGAAATTTGGTCAATGTCAGGTTTACGCAGCTGTTGCGAACGCGGAGAACATAACTAATACTACAAAACCACTTGCTGCTTCTCTTGGAGGATGGCACGTGCTCATTGCAGATCGGGCAAGCGCGAATTTAAATTTGCTGTGTCTATCTTCCCAATATTAGGCCAAGTTCAGGGTGAAGCTACACGTGACTTAGTCGGACGGAAAATTATTATGGGGCAACTTGATTTAACTTTTAATTCTAACTAACTAACTATATACTAAACTATAACTAAAAATATATTTATGTTGATGTCAGTAAGACTAAGTTCAATATTAATTGCCTCAGACCTTAAAATCGAAAACTTATCAGAAAAGCCTTTAAATCTATTTTTGAGACTTCAATGATCCAATTTCCTGCTCAAGTAGACCAACCAAGAAAGCGAGAATTATGAAGATATACAAGATATTTAATATTTTATGTCAAAAAATGACGTGCGCAGACCGAACAATATCTAAAACTGTTTACCATACGTAATTCTTTAAGATTTTATTATATTAATTTACCCTGCAGAACCAATTGCTACTTTGCTATTATTAATGCTACATTATGTTGAAAAAAAATTCAATTAAAATAAAATTGAAAAAAGTGGCGATTTTTTTTTTAACAACCTACCTTTATAATCCTATTTTATTTAGAATTAAAAATTAGGACAATCAGATTTTATGTTCGGGATACTTATAGCTTTCGAGGCAGTGCCTTTTTTACTTGCTTTGTTCTTAACGTTCTTAACACAGTAGGATAGCAAAAAAGTGTCATAGAGACTTGTATGCAGTTATATACCCAGACCAGCGCATAAACATACAGACGAAGCGCATAGCTAAGTAAAGATAACAAGTCGCTGTATCGGCTAGTCCAAATGAAACTTTATTTCGGTTTCCATGTTAATAAATGTTTTTAAAAGCGCTCTCCCAGAATCGGAACATCCTGGTATGTTGTTGACAGTAGCCATATAAAACATACTATCAAGAACCACGCTCAAGCCAAGATTCTCTAAATTTGATTGTCATTTATGAAAAATGTCCCAAAATTTTAACCAGAACATGCTCTTTGTTATCCGCATCAATGTCGGTAAGACAAGCTACATTGGACTCTGGCATTTTCCACAGTTCAAAATTTACAATAAACTCGTTTTCTAATAAGAGTTGTATTATGTAATTTATTATTAATAATTTGGACAGTTGAAGCAAAATTTACAGGGAATTAATTAATCGACGTATTTAGACAGCGAAATTATGTAGAATCCTGACAATTTAATGTTTATTGCACTGTAAGAAACTGAATAGTCAGATAAAGAATTCTCAACATTTTTTTAGTTTTAAAAATGTAATATCAATTTGAGGTGAAAGTTATTTAAACATCCTGCTCAATTTTGTCAATTTTCCATTAACTAATCGCAGAAACCTATTATATCAACATAAAAGCGCGCCTTCACATAATGGCTACTTAGTAGGCGATTTCTTGTGAACAGTTTCTAATGACCGACGGAGTACGTTTTAAAACAGGTTTATTTTCAAAAAAACAAGGCTTTTCTTAAATCTAAAAACGAACAATTAATGTGAACAGCGAAGGGCTTTGACACTAAATTAATGTTACACGGGAAATGGTGACAGTCGATTTTATATGGCTGAATCGTTGATTCAGCGTCTATTCAGCAGGATGCGTCCGGTCTAGGGATATTCCTCCTCTTTCCTTAGATTTTTCAACGTCCTCGTTGATGATCCTTTCTGACGTGGTTGGCCTTTAGGAGTCTATGTTTTCTTCATTGGTAGAGCATGATGCTGCAACAAGTCAGGAGAACCATACACAATAGTGAGAAAATTAAACAGTAATATGTTTGGTTTTGGTGCACCAATCCTTCGACTTTCATCTGCTCTATAAGGTTCTCTTGGTCGAAGATTCGTCGTTTCCGGATACTGAATGGATATATTATATATGGATATATTATTTATACCCAGGGAATAGTTCTGGTTGTCGATGATAACGTCGCATTGGCTCTGGATCAGGGAGCAACCTTAAAGACATTCTTTTTGGAAACAGAAGCAGTCTTCGTGTACTAGTTCCGACGTCTTTGCACAAAACAGTAAAGAATTTTTAAATCTGACAGTATGCACACGAAAGTTGTTTTGTACAGTAGCATACTGACAGTCAACTGGAAAATAACAACTATTTAACTGATCCGAACACAACCATCTATTTCGCAATTTTATTATTCTAATAACCACAGGTTATTAGAATAATATTTACTAGGGCTAATTAACATTTTTGAATCATTGTTGGGTATTGAATACACAATTTGTAAACATTTCTTTGGAAAATAGATGTTTTAATTGCAGGTATTGCCATTTCACTCGTAATTACCAAACCTGTTTTACAAATTATTACTATTTTTAGGGTAATGCAATTTCAGGTATTATCAAATTTCCTTTAATTCGTCAGAGCTAAATATTTCGAGATTTAAGGTTTGTACGTGCACAAATGAAAATACTGTTACCAGTTTTCCTAAAAATTGATTAAGGTTATTTATTTGCACGTGTTGATCCTGCAAAAGTTAAAGTAGATTAATTTGATCATTTTCTTTGAGAACTTCGGAACTAATAATGTTGGTATTTTGAATTTTGAATTATAAGTTCTACGTTTCGTTTGAACTTACTCATTATATCTCCAGTAAGAGAACTTAGTTCATTAATCTTACACAATAAATTTAGTTGATTTTGCTTAATTATTTCTACATTTTGCATAATCGTTTCCATGTCAATATTATGGAGATTTCTGGTGATGAACTTAATACCACTGGCAAGAAAGTTCATCAATCCTCGTTTCTTACTGTTGTTCAACTCATAAATGTTGAGCTTTGCGTAAGTATCGTAAGTGAAATTTAATGCCCTATATACGTGATGGAACTGTTTTCTTGTAAAACTATTATTTTGTTCGTGTACTAGCTTCTCTAAAATCAACACGTTATTAAGTAAATGGGATAATAAATGTTAAATATTAGTAATGTTAAATGGTACATATGTAGTAGGATAATAATTTAAAACTAATGAGGGTGCTACATCTTCGGTATAACATCCGTTATTCGGAAGTTTGTAGGCCTGAAGTGCTTGGGCCTGCTGGATCGGGATCAGGAGGCTGAAAAGAAAGCTTCTTTCTAAGCCTTTTAATTTTTCTTATATGCGTAGAGGTTGGTTGTTTCTTAGAAATGCCAGTAATTTTATTTTTACGGATGTTCGTAATTTTTGTGGGTATGTTCTGAGCATTCATTTTATTTCTAAGAGTCGTTTTCTTGTAGATCATTTGATCACGGTGTATGTTGGGAAGAATTAATCCTGTCAAAAAGCGTTACAAGTCTCAGAAAAATATGATAAATAGCTCATAAGGATCCGGAATGGCATCCAGAAAAAGTCGTCTTTCTTCATTTTTTCAGCAAGAAAAAATTACAATTGTTATTAACAAAAACTGGATCAAAAAAGAGGGGTTCAGTTTTTTGAAAATTTCTCATAGATCAAATATTAAAAAAGATTCTGAAAGTGCAGGAAATTTCAGCTATGAAGTTCTCGACTCCCGAAATCGTAGAACCAATATTTATAATTTTTATTTAACATTGAAAATAGGCTTCCGCGCTGCAGTTTCGGCATTCGCGCGCCGCCGCCGTATTAAAGTCTCGCTTAAATATTTTTTTTGTGCAACTAAATGTTTATAAAAAAAAATCAAAAAATTCAGGTATTAACTATAAACCCCAAAGATTATGACCCCTCGATTTAAAAAGTTTAATAACCATTTTTCTAAAAGTTACGTTATTGTTAACTAACAGTTTTTTTGCTGGTTTTCGCTGTCATAAAAGGCGATATAAAAGTTTAAATAATTATTCTGAATTTTTTTCGTTTTGTGCAGTCCTTTTTATCAATATCCTGAACAAGATGGCGTAAAAAAAATAGAAAAATTTTATTATTTCATTAATTATTAATTTTTAATCAACAAAAAAAATAGAAAAATTGAAATAATATTATTTAAACAATTTTTTTTATAAATTTAAGCCAATTATGATTTTTTCATGACATCGTATTGTAATTTTTATTATTCTTTTATTCCATTTGTTTATAAAAAATTTATGAACAAATGGACTAATTAAACATTTAAAAAAAAATTGTTTACCACATTGTTAGCCTGAAAAAATACCTTAGTGTTTATAATCGTTTTTTTTTTAAATAACCATTATTGAAATAAATATTTAAGATTTTTTTTTTAAATGATTATTTCTTCATTTGTTGATTAAACAATTTGTTTTAAACAATTTTTTTTCTTGTTTTTTTTATAGAGAACAAAAAAAACAACAATCTGCAATAGTAGGGTAAAAAAAGTTCTTCTATTTTTTATTTAATTTTATAAATTTTCTGTGTAACTAAGCCCAAGCGTTGATTTAATTTGTCAACACACAAATGGCTGTAACTTTGCAACTATTAGATACGGTTTTCGACCTTCAAGTCATTTTTGTGTAGCATGAGTTGAGCTTTTTAATTAATTTTTAATCTAATTTTTGTCTGCTATTGTTTAGTAGTTACACGCATTTGTCTATAAACATTTGCATATTGTACATCTTATTAGGCTTATATCTCATAAACAAATAAAGTTATGACAATTATGGTTCAGGTATTTTTTTTATTATTAATGAACTATTCAAATATATATTTTTTTTATATTTTTAACCTTATTTGTTTATGAGTTTTTTTTTCCACTATTAACTATTTTTTTATTCTTATATTTTTTGTTCTCATTCTTATATGATTTCAAGTAGATAGTAATGGTACCAACACATGCTCTGATTCTCACAATTTTTAATTTTAATAATAAAAATTTAGAATTAATATTACAGATATGAACATAGAATATAATGTTAGATTTCAATGGATACATAGTTTGATGTTTGTCGTAGTACCTTTAGTCTCATTTTCGGCAGCTGCCTGTAGTAAAGGACGTCTTTTTGTTAAATTT